GTGCACAAATCCCAGAGTTCATATGTGTTCTTGTCCAAAGAGTTAGAGAAAGGCAAGATACACCCTGGGATGAAATAACCAGCTGAGAGTAGGTTAAAGGTATTACAGTTCTTTCTGAATAAGTTGCCATTACAAAATAAAAAGAAAAAAAAAAAAGCACAACAAACCCACATTAAAATTACAAATGTACTGCTCACTTATACTGTGTTTTAGTCTGGTATTTACCTTTCCAGTACTTTTTAAAAGGTGAAATCTGTTTTACTGTACTCTACAATGCAATACATGAACTATACTGCAGGTCTGACCACACCTGAATCAAAGCTACTGAAGTACACTCAGCTTCTTGCATGGAAAGCCAAATACTGCTGTTTCTGATGGAATCATCTTGCCAATGCCAGAATCTTTTCAAGAGCAATTTCTTCAAGGCCTGAATCAGTGCCCACTGAAAGGAAAGGAAAGGATTCCTATTGATGGCAGTAGGCCCAAATAAGCCAGAGGTTTAGGCTGCCCTTGCCAGGAAATTTTGTTTTGATGACTTTTAAAGCTCTGCCTTTGTACTTCACTTTCTTATGGAGCTTATTTTTCAGTGAATTTTTTTCCAGACCTTTCATACTTTGGATAAAATGGAGTTGATGTGGTTCTGTCCCTGATTCAGCACAGATCATTTTATCAGATTAATTGTTAGAGTCTTGAGTCAGGGCTCTGGGAAGCATACACAATATTAAAACATTCTGCTGTCCAATAGCCTGATTTTTTCAGTATGAATACATGGGATGAAGGTAAAAGCTAAAGAAAACAGTATAATGCCCTCACAACAAAACCAGAGAAACCAGTTTACGCTGTGGCTGAAGTTTTCTTGCAGTTTGGCATAGGAGATAAGTTTTGACTATTCAGTGCAGATGGTGAATGAGGAAGATTTTACTATGGAAGAAATTAGGAGGGTCTCATAAGCTCCCATGGAAGGTGTGAGAGCCTGTGGTTATGTACGTGCTCCTTTGATGCCACTAGATGGAAATTTATTACCCAGATGCAAATCAGGTGAACAAACCTGTCTGAAAGGGGTTAACTAGGGCACCTGAGCTATCTTCAAAATAAGACAGGATAGGAAGGAGAAACAATGAGCACTGTAGGCAAGAGTTTATTTCTGGAGATCTAGCCCATTATTAATTGCAATTGCTATGATGCCTACCTACAGAAAAGAAGTACTTATCTGTCCTGTATACACGTACACTCAGTTCAAAGACTACTTTCTGCTGTCTTTAATTCACTCGCTCTCTTCTTCTGGAATACATAGTTTCAGGCCAGACTTCAGATATTTAAATAAAAATAAAATATAAAAATCAACCACTCAAAATAGCAAATTTTGTTGTATTTTCAATATCCTAGCTAATATTTCAGAGAAGTAATTACAGCTACCTAGATCAGAGGTTATCCCTAAGCTCATTCCTTTTGTACATGTCATAACAAGGGCAGGGAAGATAACATTTAAACCTGAAACAATACTGAAAATCAAAGACATAATTCCTAGGGCTCAATAAATCAAGATACAAGAATACTGCAGTTTCCTAGGCAAGAGTAAATGGTCATGGTAACTTCAGCAAAGCGAGGATGTGATCTTTTGCCCATTTGTTCATCTGTCTGCACCCATACGTACCTGTATTTCTGTAACATGGGAGTAATTTAGTTACGCAAATTCTCTCTCTCAAACTAAAAGACTGCAGACAGGTTAAGTCTTAAGCTGGTAAAGAGTGTTGCACTCCACTAGGAGAAGAAATGACACGTGATCACAGCCTTCTCCAAATGCACAATGCCAGCACAAAGAAGCAGCAGAAATCATCCTCAAAGCCCTAGCACCCAATTTGTACCACCCAGAATGCCTGAGCTCTGCACAGAAGGGTGAGGATATCTCCCTGAAGTTGCTTATGTTAACTTGATACCGGGTATCTGGGCTCCTTAATACAAACTTTGTATGAGGGCAACTAGATATTTAGCGGAGAGAAAAAAACAAGTTTCTCTCTGCCCCTGTGACTGTAATTTGAGTCTCTTATAGCAATTTCATAATACAGACTCATTTTGCTCTAAGACATGAAGCCAGCTGGGCAGCTGGGATAATGTCTCTATCTGGTGTGGCATTTAGTATCTAGCCTGGAACTCAAATGTGTAGGCATTTCTTCGCCCCTCATATTGCAGCTGAATGACTCTGCTGTGTTGATTTGAAATGACCTGACTAATCTCAACTTCCTCTAACAGTTTAATGAAATGTCAGAAGTGAACAAGGTCCATGGAATTGAAAAAAGACCATTCAAACAATCATGAAAAGAAACACATGGACAGCAGTTTTTAAACAGTCTTTGGACTATTGGAAATAATTCAATGAGCTCTAGCCAAGCTGCAACATAAACATACTAAGAAGGGATTGAAAAATGTTTTATATAAAGCTGCATTTTTTATCTAGACTGTGTAATCCACTTCAGGATTACAAAAATGAGATATATGGGAAAAGCCACCATTAAGTTAGTTCAAAAAAAGTAAAAGACCCTCCCTGCTCCCCTCATATCTGTTGGTGTTTGGAAACACAAACCACAAAGCAACAGTTACGTAGTTCTGGTTCCACCATCTGAAATTACAGGAGGGAGAGGCAAGAGGATCTGGCAAACTGAGTCCTGCTCCTTTCCAAGGAAAGCTTAATGGCACTCTCAACTGCAGAAATTAAATATGCTGATCATAGCACAGCCTCACAGAATACCAACTAAGAGGGAAAAGCTTACACCATACTCCCTGTGAGGTGAGGTACAATCAGCTAAAACAAACTCTTTGGTGGTTTTAGTGTCATTAACATCTTACATCCTATTAGGAAGTAAAATGTCCTGAAAAGCATAAAAATGCTCTCCAGAGGTTACCATATCTCTCACTTCCCTGTGCTACAGCAGGACATTGCCATCATAGCAGTAATCTGAAAGTACACAGGAATCCCTGGCACTTCCCAGAATGCATACTCTATCTCAAAGATTAGATGGTCATAAACTCTCCAGGAGTCTCTCCTTCCTGCAGCAGATCCAGCATTCATTCAGTTATACTCCCACTGCCTCTCAGCACAGCTGTGCTACGCTAGGTTCGAGGGGCATTTGTGAATGAAGGTCACAAAGGAATTTCCAAACTTTGGGGCTGACAGCACGCTCTTGCAATGTTAACAACTTCCAGTACTCAAAGCTGAGAGACACCAAGCCTGAGCAATGACAGAAAACTTACCACTCTGCAACCCCTGCACTCTCAAGGTGATGGTCTATGAAAAACGTGATGTGATCACATAATTAAAAGCTATCTCTTGTGCAGAATCCTAGAAGGCAGAGAATGGAGCGATCCAGAAGCTGACTGGGCAAAGCGTAAAGCCAATAAGGCTTTTGGCATGGGAATAAAATGCCATTATCGTGGAATATTTTTCATTATGTGAAGCCTGAACATTTGAAATTTTTTAAGAAAAAAGAAAATGTTACATAACATGCTTTCCTGAAATTCCTGTCTAAATATGCAACATTTGAATCTTGAATACTCATTTTTGCTCCAAAAATCATTTTAACTACTGGATTTAATATATTTACTGGCATCTAGGCATATATTAATACAGATATAAGAGGAAAAATGGACTTGCAGATGCAGACACAGCTGTGATTGGCAAAAGTGAAAGCTAGTAAGTAAAGGAGAGATTTTGAAGACTGCTAGAAAAGGAAGAATCTGGTCCATGACAACACTAAGCAAGCAGAACAGATAATGCTAGGCCATTACAGAGAAGGCCTGTACAAGCTTGGATATAAAGAAGGTAATTTTCTCTCTCATCATGCCAGAAGGCAGACTTAAAGCCCTGTCACCTGCCCTTGCCCTTGGAAAGTAAAACCATTTCTGTTTAATGTGAATCTTCCACTGAAATACTAATCCCTTGGTCAACATGTTCAAACCACATGTAATCACCCAGCCTCTGCTGCACAGACATGTCCACAACTGCTCCTGGAGCTTTCTGGGAGTTTTCCTGGCTAGTGATGGCTTTGGCAATGCCTAAACGTCATGCTGGGTTAATTTCTTATGCTGCTTGAGATCTGGATTTGAGCTTGATGATATCAGCCATGTGCTCACATGTGATTGAGCCTCATGCAATGAAAACTTCAGTTCGTGTCACAGAGTTATCACATTAATATGGAGGGCTGGATTTTCATAGTGCAGTGAAAGAAAGATGCTGCCAAGCGCATAGCCTAGTAGCACTGTGAAGAAAACTTCAGACTCTTAATGCCTGGTGCTTGCCAGAGCTGACAGACAGCCTTTCACTTCTCAGCCTATTCCAGCAAATTCAAACGAAAAGACAGAATTGAATATTTCCATCAGAATTTATTCTTCTTCTATGGAAAGATAACGAACAACATTTCACAATGCACCACCGAATTAATATACTATTTTTTTTCTGCTCTGTTAAATCACATGATGATTTGCTGGAACAGAAAATATAAGGAATTGGAATTAGCTGGCCATCACTACAGGTCACGTGGGCAAGCAAGCAGGATGAAGTCTGCTGCTTTCTGTGCCTGCATGAAGAGAGACATTGCAATCTATATCTGCTTTTTCTTCTCAGGCGATTAAACTTGTCTTTCAATTTTAAAATACTACTTTTCAACTTATGATGCTGGTTACTATCAAAAGAAAAAAAAATCAAAACTTTGTTCTGCTTACTCCCGAATTGACTCTGATGCTTGTGAATATCCCAGCTGCATGTAATAAAATAAAAAAAATATACTTTTCATAATAAAATGCATTTTAGGTTGTGGAGTCTCCTTCTCTGGAGATATTCAAGACCCGCCTGGACTCCTACTTCTGTGACCTGGTGTAGGGAGCCTGCTTTGGCAGGGGGGTTGGACTCGATGATCTCTGGAGGTCCTTTCCAACCCCTACGATTCTGTGATTCTGTTATTCACTTTATTTGAGATAGCCTAATAAATTATTTCTTATCACTTTAATACTTATCAACTTAAAATTTAAGGTGTTGAAGTGCATCAAGAACCTCTGTGCAACCCAGATCTAAAGCAGGCTTTCAAGAAGATACAGATAATTTCCCTCTAAATTTTAATCAAATTAGATGATTGTATTTTGCTCAGTTGGAAAAGAGACAAACAGAAGATACAACTAAGATGCATCAGCATGAACTCTGTCTTACCTGGGAATTTCCGTTGAACTACTACATCACAATGGAAATTAATTTTGATGATATCAAGAAACATTTACTATTAGCCTCAACAGCAAAGATTTAACTTGTGTAGTCAAGTCTGAATGGAACATGGAAGAATATAATCAGAAGGAGTAGCTGCAGTCATCCAAGTTACATACAGTGATGACTGCATAGACATTCAAGTAAGAAACTTAACTGAAATATTATGGAAGGGGTCAGACCCAGTTCCTGCAGAGCAAATGCGTAGGCCAGCGCTAACGGTGTCAGCAGCATCAGCTGTACTCACTGCGAGGCAGTGAAAAGGGTGGACCGACAAGCCACAGGCAATAGGGAAATCATGCACTGGACAGTAAGAATACACAAGGAACCAGGGTGGTGTAAATAATTTCAATACAGAACAGATGGTGTGTGTACTCTTCAATTTTGATTTAAAGGCACAAAAAGTTCCAACAGACAAAAACAAGAGAATCTGAAATAATTATGTGTATTTCTTCATTTTCCAAACAAAACAGTAAAACAATTGCAACAAAAGAACATTTCAAACAGCTAATAAACAAAACCATAGAAGCATGTTCAGATTAAAGGTAAGGACAGTCCTTCCAGAACAAAAAGGAGTTCTACAGCTTAAAGCTGAAAACTGAGAGTTCTGAGAAGTTAGCTCTAAAAAATTAAAATATCTGAGCATCATTAACCCTTGATGTACATTCAACAATAACAGAACTACCCCAATCATATTTGAACTATTTCACTGATCTCAAAATTGTGTTTTTAGTGGAACAAAACAGGTTTTCTTTCAAGTGCCTGTAAGATGTGTTTTGAATTTATTTCAAAGGTGCAGCTTTTCTCAAGACTGCATTATCAAGTCTGATAATGTTGCTCAAGGCTGTGGCCAAATGTCACAGTATCACTTGTGACAGCCACAGGGAGAAGGGGGTTTTCAGAATAGGAATTGTGCAATCAGATTAGCCAGTCCAAGGAGGATTATAAAGATGTGAATGATCAATGCTGGCCACGTCAGCTGCCCAGCACGATGCAGGGAGATCACGTAGATGAGCGATGGATACACAAACACAAAGGCCAGACCACACGTTGCTCCAGAGTATCTGAAGAAAGGGAGCAGAGAAGGGGAAAAAAGAAAAAAAAAAGGGGGGGTGGGGGGGAGGGAGGGAAAGAGAACAAAATGCTTTGTGTTAACTCTTACTTTTTCTTGTCATTTTTTTTTTCCACTCAAACTAGTGAAAAGTCTGAATGGCTACTTGCAGTCACCAAACACTGATTTCTGTTCATTGTTGTCCTGCACTGGCATTTCATGACGCCTCTTTTAGTCCCCTGACTCTCCCTACCTCCTCTTTGACATACCTCTGATGTTTCAGTCACGTTCCCACATGATTCTGGGGATGAACTGGACTCACTATGGATGTTTTTACTTTCTTTGGGGAAATATAAATAAAATACCAACAGTGCATACTTTGTTAAGCATCTCTTACTTTCAAAACTGCAAATCTCACCGATTCCCAGCCATCTGAGAATGCATATTAAAGCACATAAGTATAGAACTGCTCTTGAATTTGCAACTTTCATTTTAAATAACTTAATGAGATTCAAAAAGGCAATTCTCCAGACCCAAAAAGATCAAAATGCCCTTCTGGAAGCACAGTCAACCACAGCAACTGAAAAATCTTTTTCTAACCATTTTCCCTTGCTTATCAAACCTTTTTCATTATTTTCCTCCGCTGTGAATTTCCACCTATTAAGCTAGTGCAGCCAAATGTAAATTATTAACTAGCAACATATTTTATTTCAAAGATTTGATCATGCCCTTTAGACAGTGGAAATACTGCTAAATAAAATAAGACTGCATAACAAAACTTGTAAATATATGTTAGATTGTACATACAAAATTTATCAGTTGGAAATACACTATTCCAAAAACTTAACTGCCATGCACAGTGAATGTGTCAGCAGAAGTCAAGATCAGTTTGCAAATAGAGACATGTATTACATAATATTTATTTTCAGTTAAATAAGTAAACCGTCTCTATCACTGGAATCAGAATGTTTTCACTGAAATGAGAAATAATAAAAAAAAGAAAAGGAAATGGAAAAAAGGACACCTCAAAGACCAGCTATTGAGCAAAAATAAGTCATTCTGCTATGCTACCCAACCTAAACCTGCCATTCTAGTTTTATAATTGCGAATTTCTATATTTTTAAACATCTCCCTCTCCTGGTTGCTGTAGGAAAAATACAAAATAGGAATGAATGAAAATGATTACGTATATGGAATCATAGAATGGTTTGGGTTGGGAAGGACCTTAAATTCACCCAGTCCCAAGTCCTGCCATGGGCAGGGCTGCCCCCACCAGCTCAGGCTGCCCAGTGCCCCATCCAACCTGGCCTTAAGCAACTCCAAGGATGGGGCACCCACAGCTTCTCTCGGCAGCTGTGTCAGCATCTCGTCACAGTATAAGTGAAGAATTTCTTAGCCTACATTTCTCCTCTTCTATTTTAAAGCTGTTCTCTCCTGTCCTGTCACTATCAGACCATGTAGAAGTTGTTCTCCTTCCTGTTTATCAGCTCCCTTTAAGTACCAGAAGGTAACAATGAGGCCTCCCTGCAGCATTCTCCACTCCAGAATGAACAAGCCCAGCTTTCAGCCCTTTTTCATAGGAGAATTCCAGAAATCCCATGTGTTTAACACAGTAAATCTAAGATGCAATTTAGAAGTACAATTTTTAGGTTACTTTTCCCTTTTAAGTTACTTGCATTACGGGATTTTTATCATAGACTTTCAAATTAGCTTCAAACAGTCTTAACATAAAAACTGACAGAAATCACACAATAAGCAAGGAACTTTTATGCTGACATAATATTCTTTGATGTGGATAGTTACATGGTGAGCAGGTATAACTCTAGTGAAATTTGGGGAATCATCTCAGTCACCACAGATGCAAAGATACAATTATGGACAGTTGCTTGTCAGAACTTTTAAAGAGCAGATGCAGATTGCTTATACTTCTACATTTGCTCTGCGCAACTTACAAAAGCCTAAGACCACAAAATATAAAGTTACAATTCCTTACACTCTTACTGTTCTTTTACAAAATTGAGACATAAACATATTAACACCATAGGCAAGTTTAATGTGCAAAGCAATGCTTACCTTATGATACCTCCGATATTTGGATAAAATCTTGCCATTGCTACTCCAGCTCCTACAATTGCTATGTTCAGAGCAAGCACATGGAAAACACTACAGAAAAGTGAGAAAAAAGGTATTAAAATCTACACTGTATTTATTACAAAACACCATTCTTTAATTTAAACTAATATTTAACTGGTACATGGATGGTATTTCAATTCAAGCACGACTCATGCTATTAAAGCTAATTAATTTCACAGTAAATATAACATTTACTGAAAATTCTGAACACCAAATTCTAAATATCTAGTGTTTTGACTTCAAATATTCTTAACGAGTAAGTATGTGTAATCTTGCAATTCTTCTGAAAGCATCACACATGGTTCTCAGCATTCAAGTATTTCAGATGGATATTCAAATACTGAAGAAATCCACACGAAAGAATTAGAGAATGATCTGGACTGCTATGTGTGTGTGAGCTATGGAAACCAAGAAGAGAGATACATCACTGAAAGGGAAACATTACACAGAATACTACAAACAAACAAACAAACAAACAAACAAGCAAACAAGCTTAATACTTGACATCTAATATATTTTGATGCAAAACAAACGGTTTGAGATGTTGGACCTAATTTAATATTGGGCATGCATACTGCTTATCCTAGATTTTCTAAAATTGATTTTGGTTTTGCAAATAATTTCCTGTTGCTTTCCTTTTTGCAATAAGGATGAAAAAACTGGAGGCTTCCTGTTCTTCACAAGCAGCTTTTAATCCCTGAGACCAACTTAGTGCAGGCATTATGCACACAGCTAACACTCAGGAGAATATCACTTTTCTTCAGAGAATATAAAATGTTGGCATATTTCAGTAAAGTCAGGAAATATAAGAAAAAACACTGGGATATTTTGGTCACACAGCTGTTTCTATGAAGGGAAAGAAGAATTTGCACACAGGAAGCATAGATTCAGTTTTTATTGATTCAGAATGCTTTGATTTCTTAAAATAATCAAAACCCATAAGCTGATGTTGATTATTTAAAATGTAGAACGTATCTGTGTTACATAGAAAGTCACTAATGAACAATCTTTTCAAGTGGACTACAGCTGAAACAGTAAAATTCACCACTCTCATGGCTGGCTGCTAGCTTCCAGGTTTGGAAGAAAGGTTGAAGCAGTAGAGGGGACTCATTCAAGTGTAGGGGAACTGCAGTAATTCACACACGAAGACATAAATGAAGATACACACTATATCTAAGATTTGCCCATAAAAAATTATCTGAAAATAGACAGAAATAACATCCTTAACCCTATGCTTGGCATTCTAACAGTGGTGCATGAGAGGTACACTGCGCAGACTGAAGACAGCAGCGGGAACACAGCAGCTGACATTTTAAGAAACATCATCCATATATACCTGGTAAAACCCCAAGGATAACCCCCTTAGAACCACAGTATGAATAAAAGATGGGCCAAACATCGACTGTTTCTCTAATACTCCTTAAAAAAAATCTAATTAACTACACAGTTCACAAAACTTTTTATTAACATTTTCTCTCAGCTCACACACATGCCAGATTGCAAACTGAACTGTGAGATAACACAAATGAAACCAAAATTCATGAACGCAGAAAATGGTGGCAATTCTTTCCTTCTTTTTTTTTGCTGAGACAAACTTTCTGCAGGCAAGATTAAACAGAGAGCAGACCTCACAACTAGGAAATGTTTTCCAAATTTGCGTTGGTACAGAATATTTTTGCAGAAAAACTGAAAAAACTTGGGAATATTTCATTTTGACATGCTTTACAACAGAAATGATTTTGTAGTTCAGAGTTGTTGCTTTTTAAAAAATTAATTCAAGCTTCTTACAACTTCAAAGGCAAATGTATGTGTGTACAGGTGTGTGTGTGCACGTGTGCTGTGAAATGAAGTATTATTCCAGTTCTTCGTCTAGGAAAAAACATCAGGGCAAGGAAGGATGTGTTTTTACTCAAGTGAAAGCAATTGTCTGAAAATGCTCCAAAGCAAGGCAGTGCTTGCAGAGAACTGTTTTCTAGTTTCTGTTGTCACAATTAAGTAGCAATCTCAAAAAACAGTAACAAAAAGCCTTTAAAGGATTTTAATCCATCCACTTCAAGGGAAAAGGTGACACTATTTCTCCTTGGAACATTTCTGCACCTCTTTCTATCATTTCAGTAACAGCTCAAATTAGACCATGTTTTCAGTTCTCCAATAAAACAGACTGTGTATTTAAATTGCAACAAAACAGCTCCTCCACACCTGCATGTTTGGGTTTTTCTGACTGTTCCGGTACTCACAGGTTATCTCACCTTTCAGAAAGGAGGAAGTCACATTCTCAAATCCTGAGAAAAACACTGACATTTTGAAAACAATCCTTCTGAACAAGTAAGGATCTGACATCTACAGCTACCAGCAACTATATTATTATTTCAGATAGTACATTTTTATAAATAAGATTCCAAGTTTTATGCAGGTGCACACCTGCCAGGACAAGCACTCCCCATAGGCATTACGTTTTCACAGTGCAGCTTAGTTCACCAGTAGCTTGCTGTACACTTAATGGTCACCACATGTTGCACAAGGCGGTCAGAAAAGCAGTAATGTTTGGCAGCATAACCACATCACTTCTGGCTATTTTAGATCCATAGGGAAAAAAGCATTCAGTAGATACGCTGCATCAAGTCCTCCCCAGGGGAAGTGGTGGCTGCAGTTAACCTTGTGAATAATGGCCATATGTACCTTGCTAACTTCAGCATCCTTGAAGTAAGAATCACACCAACAAGTGCAAAGACAAACCCCAGGGCAGGGAATATTAAATAAACTAAAGAAGAAACTGGTTAAAAATCCTGAAGCAAAGAAATTAGAAATGCTGCAATCAGTGTGGAGTCACAGCAAGAACACACAAATTTGAATGGTAAGGAAATAAAAACAACATTAATGTAAGTAAAGATTTTTGAAAGGCTACTGAATCTAAAACTGAATTTTCTTCCCAGAAGTCTCGCCCAACTGACACCAGTCAAAAGACTCTGAATTACTGCAGGTTAGGTGCAAAGCAGAAACGAGATGAGGAGTAAATCGCTAAACGTGCATGCAAACAGCAGAAATGTACTTCATTGCATCAGAAGACACATCTGTTGGAGAACTGGCAGGTCTGCTGGGCTGCCATGGAGTAAGAGGAGGACAATCTTTTAGGAAAGCCAAGGGATTTCTGTCCATCAGTTTATTTAGCCTCTCAGAGCAAGGAAGATTTTAAAAAGAAATTCTAAAAACTGATGACTATACGAAGTGTTTTATGCACAGAATATAATTAATTAAGGGAATTCTCTGTCACAACTATCATCGTAGCCACAAGCCAACAGTAACACTAGAACAAATTAGCTTTCTATACATGCAAGTAGATCCAGAATCACATCAGATGCAGCAGATAAACCACATGCCTCTGGCCATAAGTCATTCATTAAACGATGCCATTGCAAATATGTCTTGCTTTAGAAAAGAAAGTAATTTCCCAAAACACAGCATTTTGGCCTTCTTTTATAACACAAGGGAGAGAAGAAAGATTTTCTTGGATTTTGTCCCAGTGTGTCCCTTTCTGTATTGTGGTCTTTACACTAATGTACTCTTTACTCAATAGAAGATGAAACTAGGATGTGTTCTACTATCACTAAATCTTTTGTGGGAAGCACAAGAAGGTTCCAGGCTTTGTGATGGTGCCTGTCATAAGACCACTGTGTCTAGCAAGTCTACACATGTGTTTAAGACAGACAGTGGCACAAGCGTCTGAAACTGGTAGACAAGGAGAATCCTCCAATTTAGAGTCAATGCATATTTTAGCTCTCCAAAGAAAAGGATGATTCTTTTTCAAAAGGCAGAATTCAGAAACCAGCACCACAGGCTTACTGTTGGAGGACACCTAACTGTAGGGAACCTGCTTTCACAGAGGGGTTTGACTTGATGATTTCTTGAGGTCCCTTCTGACCAAAAAATGTTTTTTTGAGACAAACAGGACAATTACAGACAATGTAAATTTATTACATTCTGTCGGCTGCAAAGGAAATTTAATACAGGAAGGATGTAACTATGGAAATACGTCTAATTAGGCATATTGAATCACAGAGGAGTTTAGCTGCTAGGTGGCCAACACAGATCTTCAAATGCACCACCAATATGAATTTGGCACACTGATAGATGTGTTCTATAGACATGTGGATGGATATACCATCAAGGAACATACCTAAACTCTATTTCCACAGCCTGAAAATAACTCAGGAAAGGGTAGAAAAAAATCAGATAAACAAACAGAATCAGACTCAAAACCTCAACATTTCTGTGGTTTTAATTTGTATCAAATCCTTGTAGACAAATGGTGCAGAACCCCACCTGCTCCGGTCTTCTTCTTTTGCTTCATCCTTCTGATTCCTTAGTTACAAACAAATTTTCACCAGTCAAGCGACTGCAAATATTCCCCTCCATACACACACCCTAGATACACATCTAAGTGTTAAAGTTTGTATTTCAGAAGACAGATTAGTCTTTTTTTGCCTGGAAACTGGAGGCCATTGACATTGAAAATTTTGATAAAAGCCAAGTACACATAACTTCTCATTTTCCTATGAAAAAGCATACAACTTAGTATTTCCAGCTGAGTTCTTCAGGGTGGATCAACAGGATTTACAGTGAGGTATCAGTTTAACATCAGTAAGATCTATCATCTCTATCTTTTCAAAATATGTCCCCATAAATCATCTCTCCCATAGCTCTTTTTAAATAGAGTTCTCTCAGCATAACAGAACAGTAAGGAGATCACAGGAGTATGAAAACATCTACCAAGTCCTTCTGGAAGCAGTAATGTGGAGTTCTAGCAAAAACAGAAAAATATCTTCTCCAAAAGAATGGTGAGGCACTGGAATAGGCTGTCCAGGGAAGTGGTGGAGTCACCATCCCTGGAGGTGTTCAAGGAGCATTTAGATGTTGTACTCAGGGGTACAGCTTAGTGGGGAAATATTGGTATTAGGTGGATGGTTGGACTTGGAAGTTTTTTTTTCAACCTTGGTGATCCTATGATTCAAAGGCCCAAACAGCTCTGGAATTAACACAGTAGAATTTCGTTGGTAAGGTGATGATAGAAGATCACTGTATTCACAGGCTCTCACAACATCAAGACCGCAGTTCTAATTTTTCCAGAGTAGTTTGTGGTTGAAAAACCCAGAATACTGAAATTCTTCTGTAGAAAGGTAATAAGAGAACAGTGCTACTAAAAGATCAGCTTAGGTTGCTGGTGAAAACCAGTCCTCAAGAGGTATTTCACATGCAGACCATAGATCTTCTACTATACTCCTAGAAAGAGGTCTCATGCTCATTACCTATCTTCAGTTAATCCCCACTGCACAAGAAAACAAAGCTATAAACATACAGAAGCTGGAACCTGGATATCAATTGAGAGACATTTGAGCAACATGTGAGATAGCTGAGATACCCAAGAGAAACACATATAGTCAGAATGTACTATGTACAGAAATGCCTCCGCAAGTGAACAAGAGAACAAGTGGCTTTCTAGAAACAATGTCTGACTTCTCAGAAATGTTAAATACCTCCCTCTGTAAGGAGGGTATCTAAAAAAAAAAGAGAGAGACTGAAGCTACCCACAGGACATCCCAGAGACAAGAACAAAGAATGTGCATTATCACATTCGTCATACCACAAAAGATTAAAAACAGCAAGCTTGAGCTAACCTGAGCAGAGACTTGAATGAAAATTTTAGGAGAGGCCAGAAGGGAAATGAGAACCATTCAGGGAGTGACTTGGGAGAAGAGATGGGAAGAGGCAGATTTACGTAATACTAAGAACATGGCTATTTCCCAAGGCTGTGAAATCCATGTTTAGCACTTAAATCAATGGCCTTGTTTCCAATAGTAGCTTGCAGCAGTTCCTAAAAATCTCCTCTACTTTGAACTGAGTACAATTTAGCATCAAAAAAAGCAGGCATTTATTTCATGCCCTAATTTAGACATCCATTTTCTAGACCTTTCCATAACTATTTTAGGACCCAGAAGAAACCTGAAACTTTTAACAATGTCTTCCCAGACCTGTATGCTACTGCTGATGCCACAGAGGAAATACATACGGCTTCCTGTGATATTTTTTCCTTCCCTTCATCAACAGTAATTCACAGCATAAAATAAGAAACTCAGAGATAAATACCAACTTCTCAGCTGTGACAAATTCAGATGATATTCCAAATATAAATGCCCTAGGTTTTATTTAAAACAACAGCAACAACAAAACAACAACAAACAAACAAAACTGAAATTGAGTTCTGGGTCAGCTCTTCCCTGGTGTTCAGGCAAGGTACAAATGCAATGGTGTGGCTCATCTCTGAAATTAGCATCTGAAAAGCTATTTTTATAAGCATAAAAGCAGACAAGATAACATAGCTAACAACTCAGTTAGCTACTAGCTCGGTTTAAAAACAGATGGATGATTACTAGCTATGCACAATCAAAATGCATATTCAACCCTGAAAGGTTAATAAGCAGAGTACATGCCTTCAAAACTTAAAGACCACTTGGTAAAACTTTTCTGAACGGAGAACTTTTTTTTCTGCACAACAACTTCTTTGCTATATAAATTAAAGACAAAGGAACTGTATTAAAAATGATAAAATGAAGAGCTAAAACAAAAGACGCAGCTCCCTCCCATTTTGCTCTGCCAAGCCATAGCAGTCCTAATCTGCAGGCTAGAGTTTCCTCTGCATGCCTATTCAACCTTTGCCTCTGCAAACATTTTGAATTAGCTTTTGAAATGTACTAATGCACCAAAGGAAACTCCTGAAAGCCCAGCCAACTTTCTGACTATACAAGAAGCTAGTTAAGCACAGTGTGTCAAGCTCTTGTCAAAGGACAGTCTTCTTACCTTGGGTAAGCATTTCCAAAAACCTGTCTTAATAGCTGAACCCGTGCCAGATAGCCCAACAGTGGGTATACAGTAATCATCTGGAACAGCAGAAATATTCTTGCAATAAAAGACATGATGTCGTTGCTGGGAAAGTTATCTAGAAAATTCTAAACAGAGGGATAACGTTACATTTACCAGTGATGTCTCAATTACATTTATGTGCTGATTTTTAATAGCTGTGTTCAAGAAAGAAGATGGTAAAAGCCAAGCAAATCTAAATGCTAGATCAACCTCTTAACATGAAATACTTTTTCTCCCCTTTGAAATTGTTATGTAACCAAATAAAGAGATGATGTCAGTTTCAATGTTAAAAAATATTTTCTACTCTCAGCATTCAAAAATAACCAAACCTGTGGAGCAGCTACCTGACTTCTCAGACAAATGAATTCATGTGCCCTTATTACCTGTTATATCATATCTAAGGAGTGAAAAAAAGTATTTATTCAGTAAAATTGGATCATTATCATAAACAAAAAACATTGCAAACACCTGAAAACCAGAATAGTATAAGACTTAGATTACATGGAAATATGTAAGTATCTTTACAGTATCTAGTATCTATACTATCTACAGAAAATAAACTGTAAGAAAAACTGTAGTCATCTATTAACTATGGATTTTATCCCATTAAGTTACTGCAGATGTTTTTTAAAAACATCATTTCCTGGTTAAGCAGTAGTGCCAGTTCTAAGTAACCTACAGTCAGAGGAAGTCTTTAAAAGCTGCTTCATTGCTAGCTAGGCAATGCGGATCACTTTGCATAAAATACATCTCCAGTTTACAATTCCTATCTTTGAACTAGTCAAGGGTGTGAGAATCAGCCTTGCCTATATAGGCAGAGAAGAGTTTAATAGCCTTTACAGCAGTGCTCTGTTGGCAAGGCCTAGCGCAGTGTTATACTTAACCCATCCATAGCAAGGACTGGTGCGAATGCACTTGCATTTCCTTTTATGTTTTGGGGTGGTTGTTTTTTTTTTTTAGAGTACTTGAAACCAGCCCAAGTGAGCAGGATTTGTCACTACACGCACAATTAAATGCAAACATGATACTTTTCAGAAACAAACTAAAAATTCAAGTCTGCATTGCTCCTTTTGGTCTTCACTTTCACAGAGGATTTATTTAATGTTTGTTTTTAGACAACTACTGGCAACCAGACATGAATGCTAATGAGATAACAAAAGCATTACTCATCTGCTTGTGGTAGTGCCCATGAAACATCAGCCATCTGACCATCTGACCGGAGTGAAGAACAGATGTGTCTGCCAGGGTGAATCATGACGCAAGCAGCAGAAGCTGTTTCTTTTAATAACTTAATTAAAGGTCAAGGATGACTATGTAGTGCAGTAAAACATCTTACCTGTTCAATACATTCTTTGGAGAGTGGTGGAGAAGGAAAAGATGCAAAAATTATTACTCCAACATACAGATATGTTAATCCCACCAGGAAGTAAGCAATGGAGAGGTCTCTCACCTAAAGAAAAATAAAACCTTATTTTGGCCAGCACTGACACACCAAAACAGACAAAAGAAAAAGCTCAGTAGAAGATTTCTATTGTACTTGCTACTGTTGCTTTTATATTTTATTTTTTTATTATTATTTTACATTTTTTTACTATTTTTACTATCACTTACTATTACTTGAATGGAGACTTCAAATCAGATCCTGGATCAGACCAGAAAGTGCAAGATAATTCAAACTGGAGACTGACAAGTATTACACATTTATCTAGATATGCAAAGTATACAAGAAGAAGATATTCCAATATAAGCAGCATGCTTTTGCTGGGTGTACAAACCATGAGTTGTCAAAACATACAAACTGAAAACTCTCCTTTCTTACATACACCTGTTGCTATCAGAGCCCTGGGGCGCAGGGATGGTTGTCAAAGACAAAACCCATAAATGCCCTAATTGGGATTAAAATTCTACAATTAAAGATACTGTAATACCCAGCTGCAAATATAATGGAGGATGACACACTCCAAAATAGAAACCGCTGCATCAGATATCTGCATGAATATGTGATAATGGAAGAGACAGCCAATTCACAATTAAATTAATTAATTAAAAATACAAGTACAATCACAATAAAGCAAAAGCATGCATATGCATAGAGATATATATGTAATTTAGCTTATTATTGTATGACATAATGCCTCTTTTCTTTAAATTTGTATAGCCGCTTTACTACTGAATTTCTATAAACACTCCAGATAAGTGGATGGAATAACAGTCAAAGAATTTCAGAAGACAATGCTAAGGAGGTATATCCACATTGAAGTGTATTACATATGCTCACTTCTGAAAACTTGACAGTATTTCTGGTTTACCTAATAAGACACACAACATGCATTCAAAGTTTGTTAGCAACAATTAGTACTGGAACACAAGCAGCAAATCTTCTCAAGCACTTCATGAGATTGCAGAATTCCCAGACACAGTACAGTGACTTAATAGCAGTGTATCTAGAGTTTTGTCTTTATCAACTCCTTTTTTTTAGAAATAAAGACATCTTTTTTTTTTTTAATACTAATTAATGAATTATATTCTGAATAAGCATATGCTATGCTAAGAAACTCTTATTACCTTATAGCAAACCATTTTGCAGTTCAGCTGCTGCTAATAATCAGCTTCTTAGAGGATTATCACTATGTTTCAATATACGGCCCTATTTTCCTATGGCTGAGAAGCAAATCTTATTAACTCAGGCACAGCACCAAATTATTAGGGCCATATGGCTTGCAGACCAGGATTCTATGGTAACCAGCCAGTTCACAGAGCATAGGAAAAACTCATATCTCTGCAAGGAAACTTCTTCAAGAATTTCTTCACAATACTTCCTTAACAAAAGAAGAGCATCTTACACCTTTGTGGCATCTTCTGAAGGCAGGCAGTATCCAGTGAAAATACATACATGGTAGATTACAAGTTTAAAGAAAAATTCAGAAGAAAACCAGCTCTCATGCTCATTTTGCCAGATGAATGCTCTTTTTTGTCATCAGTTCAGAAGAAGCCAATAATCCTTCTTATCAGACAACACAGCACTAATGCATACCCCATGGTATGTGTAACAGTCCTTGCCCCCCCAACAGCTGCAACCTCCTTCTGTTGCTGGTCAGATATACATAGCTGGAAGACGCTTCTGTAGCCTCTACTGTCCTCGTGCTTGCTGCTGAGTAAGAAGTACAAGCTTCAGCAGAGATTGAGGAATACAATTCTATTTAAATTATTCCAAGAATTTCTTCATGCTGATGGAGGAAAGCGTACAGGCTTTTAGATCCCAGCTATATCTTCAACAGCACCCGTGCCAATCATAAGAAATCATTTTTAAAATACTAAATATAATCATCCTAATTTCTTACAACTATTTATGAGTAACTTTCATTAACTGCAGGAGCCAGACATGTTCAGAGTCAGGTCGTGTTGCAGACATATATGGATGGACTCTCACCTTTTGAAGACAGTACTCGGTCAATTTTTCAAATGTACCAAGGCACATTATCTGACAGAATTTGTTTAAAGTTGCTTTAAATCTGTTATTTTAAACATATTCCCCATGCATAAAGATAGCACAGTAACTATCAGTTGCTATTTGTATTTGGCTTACATACAATCTCTATGAACAAATGTCAAATAATTTTTGCTGTACAAGTACTTGCAGTTGTGGGGCATGTGATCTGAAAACAAACCCACACAAATTCATTCCTTTAGACTACATTTGATTAAGGATCACTAGCAGGTGTGCTATTGCCTGTGATTATATTAACTAGACCATGCTCCTAGAGTTTCTAAAGAGTGCTTGCTTTAATATAAACTAAGACTAAAAGCTGTGATAATTTTTATAATGTACTTTCATAGTGCATGACACAATACAGCCTTGACTCCAGGTGCTATCACAACACAACACAAACAGTATTCAGATTTTTATTTCTATAAGCAAAAAGAAGTAATAGTGGCAATCAAAAACCAAATTTTATCTTTCCTCATATACATCAACTGCATTGCAAATATCTGCTTCTCAGTAAGAAAAAAGGTTATCTTTGTACAAACAAGTGTGCGTATGTGACAGGAACACCTTTTGATTACTATTCAGGATACCTCAGTTCACTCTCTAAAGACCTTGACTATAAATACTGTTTAGACAGCATAATTACAGATAAAACTAAAGGACACATGGGGAGAGATAAAAGGATTACTTTTAAATAACAGAGCAATAATCGCATTTGTCTATTTTAAATTTAATATAAAGATCTTGATAGCTCTTTTCCCACTCAGGTGAAAGCTGCCTAAACACAAATACAGTGGTCCCTGCATCTGGAGTTTATAATCTAAAAATGAAATGTAAAACAGATGGTTGAAAGAAAGAAGTATATGGGGGATCAGCGAGGAAGGGAAGTATCACAGATAACAGGCAGGTCACAGTCCATAAGGACTGACACCTTGCCACCTGCCAAGCCCTTCCTGAGTACACCTGAAATAACAAGCAGCTGCAGAAGTGGAAATTGGGCAATACTTCAGCTACAGCTATTGCTGACCAGGAGTTTTTCTGGTCAAGATATTCAGAATGATGCATTAGAAGCGTCTCTGCACTTACAGAAAACTGGACTAGGGCTGGCAACATTCACAGAAGAGACACAGACATTTGCTTCCTAAAAGAAGGATACGTCTGATAGACCAGGTGAAGCTAACTTAGGGAGAGCTCTGATAGTACAAGACATTATGTTACAAGTCATGGATGAAGACCCAGGCACAGGCTGGGGGCAGCGCAGTGAAGGCTCTGTGGCTCCCAGGGATTTCCTCTGTGAAAATGAAAAAGCCAGCAACTTTCAGGCCTTATTTTCCCTGTCATGGGACTTGGTGAAAACAACTTATTTTTTCCTCAGTATTTTACTGAAAGCTAGTTTGCAATCAGTTTTGAGATAGACAATTCTGTATCACTGTGTAGTAATGATTACTACATTAGAAAAAGTAGCTTTTGACTGATGCATTCCAGATTGGTCACTTCTCAAAAGGCAGATGCTGCTTCTTAACTAGACTCCGATCTATAGCTTAAAAACAGACTTTACATCTTCAAGTGATAACATATAAGAGGATGACAAAAGTACTTCACTAAGATCCATAATGTTGTGCATAATCACACAGAATCACAGAATGGCCAGGATCATGAATCTCCAACCCCCTGCTGCAGGCAGGGCCACCAACCTCCCCATTTAATGCTAGACCAGGCTGCCCAAGGCCCCATCCAATCTGGCCTTGAACACCTCTAGAGACGGGACACCCACAACCTCTCTGGGCAGCCTGTTCCAGCACCTCATCACTCTCTTGGCTGGAAAGAGAAACTCATGGTAGAGTATTATCAATGGAAGCTCACTCTGTTCTTGGGGAATAAACAGTGCTCCAGTACTGCAGAAAACATACAGAACCCTCAGCTCTGTGCCTTCCACAGACACCATCTGAACAAAAAATACTCTCCTGTTCCCAGCCTTTAGGTATGTCCACAAAAAATTGTTAGGAGATAGCCCTTGCACATAGAGTGTGTCCCCAGGTGTGCATATCTGTAGCTTTTGTGCTGGGCTTGTACAAACATCCAATTTGCTGAGAGAAGTTGCTCAAGGAAACAGATCACAGAAGTGTACCAGATTCAAAACCAAAGAAACACAACAAATAATCTTTCTTGGGTTTGTTAGTTTTATGTGCAATCAGTTTCCAAACCAGTTCACTGTGCAGTTGCACAAACATACCGATAGACACAAGAGGGGAACACTGGGAGACAAGAGCAGGGAGTATTTTATCTCACAGGATTACTGAATGCAGACCTGCACACAAAAAACTATGCTCACAGGGCTTCTCCAGGCTGTGCTGCTGACAGTTGACTTACTTCAATTCACTGTTCCCGTCACACCCACAGCACTGTATGGGAACAGCAGCTGGAAGAATTCTCCTCCCATGTGTGTTTTAAACTTTGGACAGTGATACATGCCTTTGACTAGAATGGAAGCTGCTATTGTTTTGGATTTCTGACCTCGTAAAAGGCACGCTATTGTTTTTCTTACTCTTTTTCCACCTCTCCTAAATAGTTCTTATTACCACTAGTTTCAGCAAGTTGTACTTTTGCAGGTTGTCAAGTTCTGCGCCTTTTCACAGAATGCTCATGGATATGACACGTTAATATCTTGGTCCATTCATTAAGCAGCAGTCTCCATTTGATCCCTGTGAGATACTGACATAAGAGTGTATCTTGTTGATACAAATACGCAGGAAAAAGTTATTCTCTATCTGTGACCAATCACAGAGGTTGAGATCCCTATACACACATAAACTTTCAACTTAGTCCAGCAGAGCAGGGAAATAATCATAAAACAGCTCTTTAGCAACATCATTAGCAACTTCATTAATATTTACAAAGCAGTTTGCAGACCTAAGTGAAAAGCTTTTATAGGGTTACAAACAGAAAGAAACAGGCAAAAAAATCCTTAGCTAAACGCAACTCCTAGAAGAGCAATGCACAGATTTGGCTTCCTATTATAACGCTATATGAAAAGGTGCTCTTTCTGATCAGTTTAAATGCACTTCTGCAGTGCAAGATTATTGTTGAGGACTGATTATTGTTGAGATGCATGCTGACCTCAAAATCCAACTTAAATCTTAGGAAGGGTGTTCAGAAAACCTGATTTAAAAGCAGACAGTAGTTTCTTCCTCCTTAATGCAGAAAGAGCAAGCTGGAGAATATTCCAGGTGCTGTCTTCACAGCTCTAACTGCTTCCTCCAATATAAATGGAAGAGGTAAAGCGACAGGAAAAGTCTTAAAGCAGCAAGGAGGCAGCAGATCTTCCCTGCATACAAAGCTGACTGCAGAAATGACAGCGCCTTTAGAATGTGAAATCCACAGCTAAGAAAAACATAATATTGCCCTCTTGTGTACTGTAAGATTTTCTTACAACTCACTGAGAATAATTTACTTATTTTCTTTCTCCAGAGCATTGCTAACCTACTCTTTAGTTGTTAAACTTTTAGAAATGCCTGTAAAATACAAAAAGCCTTCCTAAAGGATTCATGACTCCTTTTCATAGGGGTATCACTATCTTGGCTCACAGGGACAAAAAATCTAACTATGAAGATTTATCAAAGCAAAAAGTCATGTCATCTCAATGTACTGGTACATAACCTGCACTTCACCTGAGTAAACAAATCAGATGTACTAGTTTTTGACCCATCTAATATTTAAAAATATTTTTATGTTAGTGTAGTTAACTTTCCTGTCAAGATTTTGAAGCTAGACAGGAATCCCAGAATGCAAGTGAGAAAAAAAAAATTAAATAAATGTATCTGAAACTCTTAACACTGTACTATCCTTATGCAATTTTTAAGACTAGAAGACATGAAGAAAGAGTGCAGTTTCATGTGGATGAGCAGTACGTAACAAAGGTTAAAAGACCAGCCCAAAGACTAGATATCACAGAAGTTCCCAACCCAGACTTCAGCTTTGAGGATTTCCTAAACAGGTTTTTCTGCAAACCTTAACTTCAGTTCACAAATCCACGGAAGCAATTCTCGGAAGAGACATTATCTAGAACCCAACATATAGTTGCACTGAACTATAGTTGTACAGAACAATAGTTCAGGTCTCCACTAGAATCAGTTCTGTGCTTGAGATTCTCCTCTTTTTTGTTTTAAAATCCATGACTTTTTCTACAGCAACCTTGTCAGTTTTTCTGCTTCTTCTGTGTAATTTGGCCACTTAATGGTCAGCCTGATCACACATAAGCGTGGGATGTTCCTCAAGACTTTCATTTGAATAAATCTATCATTCGTTTGTTACTCATTGGTAGCCAGTATGTATAACTGGTTTCTTATCAGATCACAAAACCAATTTACATATTCTGAAGCTATTACAGTCTCTGGATTAATTTCAAGAGAAACAGACTGGAAAAAATAACTGTTGCATGGTAATCTAGTTACAAATCAGCAAAAACTTGTGGAATTACTTACGTTGTTTTCTTGATTCTTGTTATTTTGAAGAAGAGTGATGACACAATTGTGAATGAAGAAGGCAAGTGTTAGAACCCCTGTGAGCTGAGGGAACAGAACTCTAAATTCTAAAAGAGGGGAGAAAAAGTGTTAGTAACTTGTTTCTGTGAAACACTGTCAATATGCAGATAACATACAGTGTGGTAGAGTCTATTTGTAAAAGCAAGAATGATCATGTTGAAAAGGGACAATCTGTCCTTGACCATAGCCAACATAAATATTTAATTAGGAAGTACAAAATGCATGAAGATGGTGGTTATTATATTACACAGTCTCCATGAAAGTTTCTTGCATGACCCCAGCCACTAAAGTCTACCAGCTTAATCTAGGACTTAAACATACAAGCCTTCCTGCTTCTCAACAGTGTAACTGCAGAGAATTTTTGAGGCAGGAATTGGTTCCACTGCAATTGTAAATGTTCTGGTCCCCAAAAATGGAAATAAGAGGAAACCTATTACATGCTCTGTGAGCTTCCTTTGTTTTTGAAAATGATGAAGACTAGCAAGCTGGTTACGCTTCTAGAAGAAAACTGCCATATGCAGATGTTAAAGAGATGCTATTTCAAAACCAGGGTACGAGCCCCTTCTCTAACCCTTTATAGCATCAGTAATACCTTTTTTTAATCTTTAGTCTCCATGGAAATAGCAGTGTATTGTTTCTTTGAATACTAAAAGGACTATGTTATGCTGAATATTTGAAGGGTCTGTTCAGCCTAGAAGAAAAAACTGAGAGAGTATCTGATCAATGCTCATAAATATCTGAAGTGTAGGAAGTAATTGGACATGGCCAGACTCTTTTCAGTGCTGTATAATGACAGGACAAGGGATTCTAGACAGTCAAAAACTAGAACATAAAAAGCTCCACACAAGGAGGTGGAAGAACTTTACAGTGAGGGTGATGGAGCACTGGAACAGGTCGTCCAGAAAGGTTGTGGAGTTTCCTTCTTTGGAGATATTCAAGATTCATCTGGATGCCTACCTGTGCAACCTACTGTAGGAAAACAGCTTTAGCAGAGAGGTTGGACTCAGTGATTTCTAGAGTTCCTTTCCAATCCTTGCAATTCTGCGATTATGTCCACAATACTTTTCCTTGAAGTGCTGCAACTTATCTAAGAATTTACTAATGCCGTAACACTATTAAAGCACAATCTTTGTTGATATTATAAAAGGATATATACTTGAGAGAGTTACAGGAATTGGAGATGCCAGAGCTAGCTCAGCCTCTGGAAAACATCCAGCAATATAGCAAAACACTCATCAGATGCTCAAAAATCCTCAGAGACCACACAGACCTCTATGCAAGAATATCTAAATCAGCTTTCTCTAAACTGCTATGAGGTGAGCCAGTTAAAAACACTTCAAGCAATTAACAAAGGACTCAACAAGTTTGATAGAATATACTTTCTATAAAGCTGGATTCACTGTATTTTCAGTATCTAACAAGTACGATGTGCTACCAGTAGATTCAGAGTGCAAGTTTTGGGCTTGTTTTCCATCCACTACTTTAATGTCAATAATAAAAACGGAACCATCAGATTCAGAATTTCTTTCAGAATTGTTTTCCTCATCACTAAAACAACCTGCTGTAGCTGCATTTGTATGCATCACCTACATGCTTCGTCTGTATTCTAACAGTATTACTAATGTTGCTGAAATAGTCTAATCACTAGGTACTCCACTTCTTACAAATGTAATGCTATATATCAGAGGGAGTGATTCAATTCAGTATAAGGTGACCTGATCTAGTGGGTGGCAATACTGCCTCTGAGTTGGAAGTGGATAGTCTTTAAATGCCCTTCCAACTCTAATCATTCCATGACTTTACAATAATATTAGAAGACACAACTCCTGTAAAGAGTGGGGCAAAACAGCTTAAGATCCTGCCCTCATCTCTCTTTTGAGGTCTCCTAAACCGAGAAACTGATCTCTTTAGACTATCTGTTCATTCAGTAGGACTGTTTATACAAACATAACATCTCACAGGGTGATTTGTAATGTCATTGTGAGAGTGGGGGGAAAGCAAAACAACATTCAAGAAAGGAAAAAAGGATACCGGAAAGCTAACATCTGTTGGAAAGTGGAGATTCCTGCTCCTCCAGATGCAACTTCAGACAGCATTTCCTTACTCTGCTTACCTCACAAAGATGTTAAGAGGTGAACAAGACCGACATTTGTAAATTGTTTTAGAAAGCAATTAAGCCCATCATATATGTTTCGTTACATTCTTAATTATCTTACCTGGTACAAAAAATTCATTCTCTGTAAACCAGTTGAATTCTAAGTGGATTCCCAGGTGAGCAGCCTTTACAGTAACCAAAAGAACTAAGTAGATAACTGAAACCGTACCTAGAAAAGACCAAACAAATACCAAGAGGCAATAGAAAGTATTTTTGCTGTGCTTTTCCTTGCTCCATCCAACCAGTTATCAGTAGCCAAAACTCTTACAGGTGGTATTCATTCTTAAAAATACAAAATAGTTCTAAATTTTCTTTTAGTTTCTTTTTTTTTTTATATGTCAGAGAGAAAGAGCAATGCACTTGCACTGAATGCACACATTAAGCATGTCTAACGTTCTGCAAATACTGCATTAGTCACAGTGAACCAGCAATCCCTCATGCTAGTTAGGTAGGGAGAACTCTAGACGATAACAGATGGATTCTAGATTCAACTGTCAGGATTCTAATCTGACATGAGACATAGCTGGCCAAAGATAGCATAGCTATCTCAGTGTCCATTCATTCAGTCCTTGACTGAATAGCCCAGTGAGAGACAAATTAATGCTTACTACAGTGTCAACTTTAAACTGGGAGATAAAAGTTTGATAACAACTCTTGATAACTTTAAAATTTGTCATGATCATGGAGAACTTTGGTCATAATACAGGATTTGAATTCCATCTCATTGGCCCAGAGTCATCCAGCAACAATCTGCACTGCTAGAGGATTATGAATAAGATTACAGTTTGTATCAATGCTTGCTGTGTCTGCCTGTTAGACAGAGAGAGTATGAACTTGGCTTCAGACACTTAAAAGAGAAGGGCAGAAGAAGGGCAGAATAATAATTACTCAGAAATTGAAGAAAACCTTGCATCAGTAATTAAGGCTACTGTTATGCAACCTCCAGGTCAACAATATTGTATTATTTCCAAGGCTACAAGATAAATTACAAAAATACAGTCAAAGACTAAGAAGATAAAAGGTTCTGTTCTATAGGATCTACTTAACAGCTAAAATTGTCCATAGTTTCTTTACGACTTAGGTTTCCATAAGTATGAAGATAAGCAAGAGTTTTCTACCAAGATTCATTTTAGTACATGAAAAATAGCCTTCCAATTCTTGTCTGAAAAACTTACAAGATTTACAGAAGCTAAAGCAGCTTTGAAAACGTTCTGCATTAGATAATAATGAAGTTATGAGAAAATTCATGCTCTAATAGACAGGCTAGTTCTCAATTGAAAAACAGATGCCTGTGATGGAGTGCTTATTTTAAAAGCAGATATATTTATGGCATGTCTCACCTGAAAAATATTTTCTTAACCCTAAACTTGATATTCTATATAAACACCTTACTTTTTAGAAAGAAGCCCTATCACTCACTCAAATTCCTATTTATTTGAATAATATATTGATTACAATACTCAAATATATTATTTGAATAAATATATATTTATTTGAATAATATATTATATTCCATTCATTAGATCCAGCAATAGCAGTTACAAGCTCTAATTCACTGTCACTCTGGCTAAACAAGGTCTTCAGTTCCCTGCCTAATACGTTCTTTACAATACACCTCCATCTTTTTCAAACAGTTCTGTATTTTCCACCTGTTTTTTTCCCATTCTCTTCAGAATTGGCTTCAATGCAATGCCTTCTAACACCATGAAAAGTAACTGCCCCCACTATCACTTATGCACTTTATCTACTTTACCATTCCCAACTGCTTTGTTCTTCTATCTCAATGCACAAAAGCAAGGAGAAGTCACAATTTTTGTCCTTGTAGTACAGAAAGGCCAGAAGCTGAGCTGAAGCAAAGCACAGCAGCAGGTTACAAGGACTGACTGACTGATGTTGCTGTGAATTAATACATTGATTAATGTCAAATTACTTCAGGTCTGAAGTACTTATCTTTGGAAATAACTGCCTGTTCAAATACTTACCAGATGAGGAAGGATGTATCTGACTGGTTGGGCCAAAGTTGTACGTATCAAACACTGCACTGCAGTGTGTACCACAGTTTGGGAAAATTTGTTGCAAATACAATGGAATTTATACAGGATTATCAAGGGAGCAAAGGGAAAAAAATCATTTCCTACTAACCACAAGGCTCAAGCAAAACAGGGTGGAAAGTCTGCAGGTGATTAACAAACCGACCTATGAATTGCCAGCTGCTCACTGGAATAGTTTTCAGTCTTTTTTATATACTTCAGACACAATAAATAAATGCTTTAGTAGTACTTGTTACCTACCTAGGACATTAAACTTTGCAAAGAAGGATGGAGACTTCAGATTTAGCAGGGGTAGAAGAACAGCAATCAAGTAAAATGGTACTGTTTGTGATTTGCTCCACCACTCCTCAAAGAGCTGAAAATCTGTACTGTTGCCAGAAGAGAATATCATACTCCGGTTCTGTGGTGGGTGATCACTAGCAGCATTGGGACAAATGACTGAAAAGGAAAATAAAAATATACCCAGATGAAAAGAATTTCACTTGCACATAGTTTTCACTGCTAAGATCCCATAATTTCTGGATTGTGCTTTTCCTCTAGGGAGAAGAACCAAAAGCAACGTTTAGCAACTTAGGTCTTACTTTCTGTTTGTTATCAGTAGTTCAGTGCTACAGTTTCCCTGCTGTGCACCCTGTACTATAAGCTGAGCACAACAGAAACACTCGTTTGTTTGTAGCCTGAGTTTTTGCATAGAGTCTCCAGGGTTACCTATCTGCAGCCATGCTCTGTGCCTAACACATCTGCCCAAATTCAGTCAGAGCAGCACACCTCCACATTTGACTTCACGCTTAGCATTGAGATCTGTCCAGCACTCTTAACATCATATTAATAAATGCCAGCACATCTGTCTACAAAAGAATCTGCATCACTGCATGTTGTCTGGGAACACACAAACAGCTTGACAAGAAAGCTATGATTACCAGTGGCAGGTCTAAAACTCATGTACCAAAGCAAACATACTCTCATCTTGGTGTAATGTCAGGTTGCAAGTAAGTCACTTCCAGACTACAGAAGCAACGTGAGAAATACACACATAATTCTCTGAAAAGAGAATGTCAAATTCCTGTTACATGGTAACACCTGAACAGCACCTTAACAAGTGACTGGAACAAAATGAACCAAACATAAAAGATCCTGTGGTGAAAATATGCCTATTTGCTTCTGGTTAATACTGGCATTTCTTTCTAACATATGTCTACAAATTATATGTTGAAATACGAATCTGTCTTACAGTTCTTGTGATTTCTCCTTTCCAATCTTGGCATTCCACAATATTTTATAGCCTGCCTCCCACAAAGCCTTCATGAGTATTTTGTTACAAAGGCAAAGGTGTATGAAGTGTTCTATCAAGTTTTTTGAGACCATTATGTTTCTTCCAATATTCTTACTTGCATTACATTACTTATAAGAGGACTGTTTCACAGACCTTGAAAAATGCTTTTGTTTTTTCGTGATCTCCCCCCAGATACCCAGCCAAGAGACATCTGACTATCTAGCAGCCCTTAGTTCTGTGCAGCATCTGCACTGAATCTTCCAGTAAGCAGAGGATGATGTGGAATAGAGGAATATGGTTTTCTAACTTTGTCTTTAAGTTACTTCTCCTGCTGCCAGAGAATGGGATGAAACAGGAGAAGCACAGAGACCAAAAGAGAAAAAACACAGCAGCAGCTTCTGGTGCCTTGCTCATAAGGACTTATGGAGAAACAGAGTTCAGCACTAATTCAAATGCAAATCAACTGGTTTTCAGAATTATTTCTGAGTTCCCTCACCTGATTCCAAATAGCTGCACTCCAGAAACACTATTACAGCTGGTGTGACACAGCTGTTTCTGAAGTGTTTCCCTATCCTCTTAAGAGCTTAGAATAAAGAAAGCTTTCAGCTTCATAAAGTAGAACTACATGTCAAGTTACTTAGTACATCAAGGCAGAAAGACCTGAAGCTGATGACGTGTAAGCTCCCCCCTTCACTGTGTGTTACACTCTGCCTATTTGAAAACTCTCAATCCACCTTCATAATTGAATGCAGGTTCTTGTCTTAGAGCATGTTAGACTCTCCGCAAAAACAAGCAGACACTCATGCAGCTGGATGCTTATTTCTGTGTTCAGCAATTAAAAAAAAAAAAAAAAAGCTTACAGAATTAAAATAAATAAATAAATAAATCCTGCAGAGTTATTGAGGAGCAAAAACCACTCAGCCAAAAATTTTCAACAGAAAACACACTTCCTATGCCTCAGTTTCAGGGTGCAAAGGTTAAAATTCCTTAAGGAAACTCCTAATCACACAGCTGTTAATTGATCTAACATTCATGGCTTTTAGGAGTACCTAGCTGGGTATACACTAATTTGTAATATATTTCTTAAGCCTTGCCCTCTCCCCCACTGCTGTTTCATTTTAAATTATTGATCTTTCCAAGTGTAGTTAACTGTAGAAGCAGAAACATCAGATAGAAAACGCTAGCTTTCTAAAAACATAGTTAAAACTTAGTTTATACATTTTGTAACTGTAACAGGGTTAAAATTCATGCATTAAAACTGCCTTGAAACTCTCTCCCCTCCAAACTAGTAAGTGCTTCTTACCTTTGTTACTTCCATTTGTGCCTGGAACAATATCAGTTACATTGATATCATGAACAAAGTCTGAAAAAAAAAATAATCATATTTGCAACGTTCTATTAGGTTCTTACCTGTTAACTTAACAAAAACGTTAGGGAAACATTTTGAAAAAATAACATCAGAGCTGCAATATGCAATTAGCACTTCCCACCAACTTCAGATGGGTATTTCAAGGACCACTGCACCACTTCGTTCTCAGCAGTCCCCTCCATCTATGCAATACCCAAGCATACCCTTTCCGTTGCTCATTCCTATTCCCCCAGCACACTTTCACTTGTTCCTGCTCCTTGACTGCAGTGTTGCATAGTAGATTACTGAGGAGATGCATCTCAAAAATCAGTTTATTTTGGGACAGAAAAAAAAAAAGGTGTACTCAACCATAACCTTAATCCATACAATATTATATAGATAAATCTTCCCCTACTCATTTCTTCTAATCTTTCTTCAGAGCCTGAAGGATGTTTTTTTTTCTTTTTTTCTTTTTATTTTTTTATTTTTTTTATTTTTTTTCCCCCTCCATGTTGTTTTTTAAATAATGTCATTTCTGGAAAAATGTTTAAGTCTCAGTATCTCCAGTCACCTCTCATAGTACTTTATCTCAACTGTACTCCTGTGCTACTTTACTGCAAGTAAAAAGATTTTCAGGTTTCTCAAACTTGATCAGTAAGAGAGTGCTATCTCCTTATATTTACGTATATACAGAAGCATACAGAAAATGCCCATCAGCCTGTAAATTTAATTAGTATCTCTCTGGTTAAAATTTGCTTCTGCTGCATGTGGATGTATTATGCACACAGAAAATCAAATAGGATAGAAGGCTTCTGATTTTTAAAGCAATTAAGAGCAGCTTGTTTCTCATACAAAAAAGAATTTCTTTTCCTAGAAAACTACCTATTGTGATGATTCTCAAATTTGCTTAACAGAATCAGAATGTTTTGGCTTAGAATAACTAAGGATTAAAATGCTAACCTTATAAAGAAAAACAAACTCTATAATGAAATGGCCTTAAGAACATATGAATTAGGTCAGCTATAAAATAATGCATTAATTACTCAATAAAGTAATGTGGGTCCTTCAGGGATGATGAGACTCTAATTAAACTTTGCTTAGGGGGCATAAGTATCTCTGCTGTTATATGCCTCAAAAAAGATTTGTTAATTACATTCAAAACAGAAGCTTTCAAAATTTAGTAGTGCTATTTAACACTATTAGTCAGATTTTCAAAGCTCACAATTCCATCTTTTATTCCCATAACTCTACACATCTAATTGATTGTATCCACAAAAGCCTGTGTGTCTGCACACATAGAGGGTGTAAACAACCAAGATTTTCTTCTGTAGCAATGCCAGACTAAAAATTGTTCTCTCACTGTGCTACTGTTCATCATTCCTTCAAGGATGCTAGAAATGGTCTATAAGGCTATATACGTATATATACACTTCATTTGCTGGAAACTAGAATTAAACTTCTTTTTTTTTTTTTTTGCCTGACAGAACGGGACCTTGGTGTACTGATGGACAGTCAGCTGAATATGAGCCAGCAGTGTGCCCAGGTGGCCAAGAAGACCAATGGCATCCTGGCCTGTATCAGAAATGGTGTGGCAAGCAGGACTACAGAAGTAAACCTGCCCCTGTATTCACCATTGGCAAGGCCTCACCTCAAGTACTGTGTGCAGTTTTGGGCACCTCAGTACAGAAAGGACATTGAGGTGCTGGAGCAGGTCCAAAGAAAGGCAACAAGGCTTGTGAAGGGCTTGGAGAACATGCCCTACGAGGAGAGACTGAAGGAACTGAGGCTGTTTAGTCCGGGGAGAAGGAGGCTGAGGGGAGTACCTGAAAGGTGATTGCAGAGAGTGTGGTATTGGTCTCTTCTCACTGGTGACAGGATGAAGAGAAATGGCCTCAAGTTGTGCCAGGGGAGGTTTAGGTTGCATATCAGGAAAACTTCTTTACAGAAAGCGTTGTTAAGCACTGGAATAGGCTGCCCAGGGAGGTGGTGGAGTCACCACCCCTGGATGTGTTTAAAAACTGTTTGGATGTGGTGCTCAGGGACATGATTTAGCAGAAGGTTGTTAGAGTTAGATTGTTAGTAGTTTGTGGTTGGATTTGATGATCTTCAAGGTCTTTTCCAACCTGCACAATTCCATGATTCTGTGATTCTTAGGTGGAGATCTTTTTCATTAACTTGGATCATTCCGAATAGTTACATCAGCACAAACAAGGAGGGGGTGAAATACAAAGTGGAAAGAAACAAGTCAGGATTGAGTTTGGGATTTTTTTTAAGCCCAACAATGAAAACGTGTTTTTTAAACTAGACCAAGAAGTTTGTACTCACTTGCTAGCCAGTTAACTGGTACTCTGTCATTTATTAGAAACACATACTGAGAAATTGAGAAACTGGCTTTGAAAACATGTAAGTGACTATGCCAACAAATCCGCACTTACTTATTCTTACTTGACATTTCACAGAAAGTAACAAAATCAAAATTAAATAAATGGGACAATCCTTTCTGAGTATAAACCGAAGTCTTGATCTTTAAACAAGACAGCTGTTTAAATAAACCAAAGATTAATACTTACTGTATATAAACTTTCCTGTGTTGAACAGAAAATTGGACATAAGCACCCAATAAACGATCATGGCTCCAACAAGTGATACCATAGAAAATAAGAGGCTTGACCATTGACCGAAAGATCCAAAATAATACTTGCAAACATCTGGGAATTCCCAGTTCGAGGTATCTATTAAAGCTGAAGAAGATTAAAAATAAATAAATAATAATAATTAAAAAAATTAGAAATCTAAACAAAATGTAATGTTATATTAGGGTCACTAGAATTCTTCATAAAAGAACAAGATGATTTTTTTTCTGAATTCTGAAACAAATTCATAAGGTTTCCAAGAGCTGAGAAGGTTGCTATTAAATTTTAAGTACAAAATTCATAATGCTGTTCTTCTTCACAAAGGTTATGACATTAATGTTGCTTGTTCTACACAGGAAGCCTGAAGAATTAGAGGCTTTAGATTGAAGAAATGCAGCAATACTACTACTTTGAATACTTTCAGAAGCACAGGCACCAAGGGTTTGGGCCAAAAAAATGCATTTGCATTTGCAGCTAAGCTTTCTGCAGAAGTTACAGTCCTCAATAATACTTGGAAATGAGCTACATGTTGGAGCAGTAGATCTTAACTGCTTTCATTTGAACAAGTAAGGTGGTAGTTTATGTGTAAAAGATCAACAGATACGAGTATTGAATAATAAAAATACACTCAAAGTAGATATACCCTCAGTGACACAATCATACATAAATTGCATCCAACACAGACTGCAGAGTACATAAATGCCTTCAATTATGCATATTTCATAGACAGCAGAACTACAGCTGTCAGATGGCTAAATGACAGTAAGAACCTAATTCCTTTACAATCGGAAACAATTTATTTTTTATATACAAATAGTCCAGTATACAGGCATACAACAAACTATTAAAACTCTGTATTTCACACTTGTGTGGAAATATTCGCATCATGAAGCTTACGTATCATTTTTCGTGATTTCACAACTCTGTAACAGCAATAAAGTGTCAAAATGCCCATCAGTATGATGAGAATGATTCCAGAAGTAAATCCTGCCTGTTTAGAGGGAAAAAAACAACACTGTAAGTATCAATAATGCTATAGAAAAATGAAGAGCAAGCCAATGTTGCCAAAAACATTTTCATGAGCATATATTTTTCATATTTTTACCTGTTTTATTCCCCATGGGATACTTAATATAGATGTGCCCATCATTGTGTTCCATATAACAAATCTAGGAAGAAAAGTTAACAAGTCAGTGAATGATTTTAAAAAGACTTCTTTCCATACTACTTTCTTAGATAAAATACAGAATATTCAAAAAAATGCATTTTATGGCTACTGTGTGAGAAGGTGCTTAACATACATTGTCACTATACTGGAGTTTTTACCGTAGCCATCTGTGCAACTGTCAACTTTAAAAGCAGTTCCTAATGGACTATATACATAGATTTCATCAGGAGCTGGAAGTACATGATCAGGAGCAACCTAACAAAAGAATAAAAAGGAATAATCAGTAGCATCAAAATAAATATTACCCCAAATATAGCAAGACAACTGCTGTAAAACAAAATCTTTCCAGGAAAAGCACGCTGCAGAAGGAAAAGAAGTGGACCATGATTTTTATTTTTTTTAAGAGCATTAAAAACCGTTCACTGGATTCTTAACTAAGCAGTAGAAAGACAGATTTTCTTCTGAAAAAGACTGGTAACATACAGAGCTCAATCACACAGACATAGCTCAATCACCACAGCTGAATGGTGCTTAAATTCTCCTCATAGAGGACAGCAATGAGTACATCTATCTGGGCAGCCTGGACCACTCTTCCAAAATTAAAACTGTATCTTTTCTTAGATGGTAAAGATAGAAGAATTTGATGTTGACTTGTGATAACAGGAAAGTTTGTCAGCTACTCCAAAGCAAACTACAGATTAGTTTCCCCCCTACCATAGTTTGTACTTCTTTTATATACCTAGCCTGTGGAAGACCCAACACTCAGTTCATCTGGCCCTTTGTCTCACCAATGCCTTGTCTGAAGGAGATGTGAGCCTGCTATAGTAATGAATCCGCTTATTCATTGCTGAAGCTTCGTCAGAGACTCTTTGCATGTCATCATTGGCGCTGACTATGTTTGTAGGCTCCACATGAAATGGTCTAAAGGAGGGGGATGAAAAATGAAAAGAAAGGAATATTTTTAGCAATCCTGTACTACAAGAAGTAACATAATTCAGAGAACAGCTTAGAATCACTCTGGCCACGTCTGTCATTCATTGACAAAAAACAAATGCTGTGACTGAAACCATCAAATCTTTATATAATCTACATTGCTCAGATTCTGCATAACAACCTAACATCAAAATTCAGACCTAATATCCAGTCTACTTGCTTTCAGCAATGAGTCATATCAGTAATACAACATTAATGAGCTTGGCCAAGCACATTAACATTTATAACTTGTGTTGCCAGAACAAGCAATGAGGAATAGAGCTAGAAACAGAAGGCGTGAGTAAGGCAGAAACAGAAAGAAGACAGGAAAGAAGAGGAATAAGCAGAGGGAGAACCAGCTAAAAAAAGGCTAGGAACTAATAATCTAGCCAAAAACACTGCATAAAATTGTGTTTAATGCAGATGAAACCAAGCCAAATAAATCAGTGTGGTACTTCTGAGCCAAAGAAACCAGGACTAGACTTTGCCACTGAACAGTAGATGTCCACTTTCAATTCTGAATCACCTTCAGATTTCCTTTCAAATTTAGACTAATTACAGAGAAAGAGATTCCCAGCAACAGATGCCCCACAGTCCAGACATACCCTCTCAAACACAGACATACAGCAGGAAGGTGGCCTTCCTTTCCCTCTTCTCTAGTTATACAGGTACTGCAGGTGTCGTCACGGCCACTGCAGAAGAATGCAGCCACCTCCACCAAAGTTTTCTCTATGTGTTACATTATTTTATTATATATTATTTATATATTTATATATTTATTATATATTATTTTATTATATATTATTACACATGGAGCAAGCAGATTGATAGCTGCAGTTTTTCCTGCTCCTGATGCTACAACACAAATCCCTAGCAGAGATCTCATCATGTTTAAGGCTACCAACAGTAAAAATTAAATCAGCAATAAATCCATGCCATTTTTACTGTAATACGATCATGGCCTATTTGAATGACATCCTCAATACACCTTTCTGGCTCAGACCTACAAAGGAAACTCTCCTGCCACTGCTCTCAGTAACAAAGGTTTCATTCTTTTCTCATGTGAATCATTAAGCATTTCCTTCCCATTTATCTGGAGGAAAGAAAAGGAATATTGCTTTGAAGTCAGCTGTGGTATCTTTGAACAGATGACGCTCAGTCTTCAAGTTTTAGCATGGCCTCAATCCTAAATGCTTAACAGGCACAGCAGTTATGAGTATTTGTAGGAAACAAATAAACCAGTAGAGAAAAAACTAAACAATTAGAGAAAACTATCTCACTCTTCACTCCTCTACAAGTTAATCATTCTTTCCTTCATCTTAAGACATCATTACTTCTTATATCCTCCTTCACTATGGAAAAAAATTGTTTAGACTTGCTAAACCATTTCACATAGACTAAAATGAAAGTGGACACACTTTCAGTTCTTAAAGCATTCCACACTGAGGTGGTTTTTTGTTTTTTTTTAAAGAGTTCACAAAATGAAGGGGAAAATGTTGATTTTGTATGTGGACTACTAGGGTGCTCCTATAAACAATTAAGATTTTGTCACAACTAAACAGAAATAAGTTTTAAGCCATAGTCTTAATGATCAAGCCTGAAGTGCACATAACTCTGCAGGTGTTATTTCACAAAGAAAAATACTCATGGATTGCCAGCTTTAAGGGACTTAACTTTTTTTAGTTCCAAATGTATTGGGTTGATCCAATCATTGGACACTGCTGAAAAAATATTTCATTAGAAGAGCCGTATAATAAAGATTGTTGCAATGAAAACAGGAAACATGGTATGTTTGAATGCCTCCTCAAATGTGCTCTTTTTTTTTTTTTTATTAAAACACAAAATAGAACTGAAAGTACGCTTTGCTAATTATACAGCTGCTGCATAGAGCAAAGAGCTTCACAAGGACTACTCTCTCCCCATGTCAAGTTAATGTTACTGATACAACCCTAAATCTTCCTTTGTCGGTGTGAAAAAGTTACACTGAGACAAAGTCTACGTTCAGCTTTAAAGCAGACAGATCTATGGCAAAGGCATCTTTCAGCCTGATGTTGAAAAACTATTGACATGGCCATCAAAGGAAATAATTCCAGACTGGAATACAGTGGGAGATTATTTTCTAAGCAACTCAAGTTAAAGCCACAGATTATTTTAAAGGCAAAATAACAGAAAACATGAATACGACATTCTATTTTATGGGGAAAGCAGTAGTGTTAGTTTTTGACCAAGTGAGTATTAAGAAAAAAAAATGATGTACAACAGAAACATATCTTTTAGTGGGTAGAAAATTCTTTAAATAAAGAAATTTCATGTTCTTCAGTATTTTGATCATTGTCTGGATTGAATAAGCAAAAAGCCACTACCCTATAAAACAGAATAGCATGATTTAGAATCAAATATATATGTGTGATGGAAACAAATAAACAAACAAACAGGTAAAATAAAATAACCTCAAGGAAATTCTGTATTTGTGTTGCTGCTGCTTTCTGCCTGGAGGAATACGTGTTTAATGCAGACAGTTCTTGGGTGACTTCCCCTTCTGGTAACATCAGTTACACCCTTCTGGTGTACATCGGTTGAGAATGATAGCCATCTAAAGCAGTAATTGATTTTTTTTTCCCCTCAGAATACCAATGTCCTCAGAATACCTTCAGTCATTTTGAGCAAGTGACTATGATAAGACAGATTGATCCCTCATCAGTTCTACAGTTGCTACAGGTCTCCCTGAAAACATTAGCAAGTTAGATAGGCAGACTAGGATATAATCTTCCTCTTTGATCTCATCGGGTGTAGGTAGCACTCTTGTTTAGGATCAAGGCCATTACCAAGCCCCCAGTCATACTCAGATCAAAGACTGGCCATAGGGCATAATCAGGCATGTCCAAAAGCTTTCAAGACAGTACTTTAAGATTTTCAAAGCCCAAAGGAGGTAGGACACAATTTGGGTTGCATTTTGGTAAATTCTTTCATAGGGACCTTAAGTTTAGTAGACAAGCAGTCTGTACATACAAGCATCTGCAGTTGCAACAGATCCTAGAAAACTTCCCGATTTATACAAGCAATCTCACTGTATAACTCATGTGGCAAAATGAGTATGAAAAGGACGTGGGACAATGTGATCTGAGGGACATGACTAAAGGTTGTGACTATTAATGCAGAACAGTACAGACAATTACTGTGCACTGAGATAGATGGCAGTATCCACAGATGTATTATATCCACACCAACAAACACAATTACAACTTGTATTCCAATAGCCAACATGAAAACCAATGCTCTTTTTAGCAAGACAAATACACCAGTAAAACATGGCTGCTTTCCACAACAGAGTGAGTAGAGACTACATGCAGGATTCCATGCAGGAGACCCATACCTCCCATACATGTACTTCAGAAACCATTCCCTGCAAACCTGTAATGTGCTCATCTGCTACTTATTTCTCTCACAAAGAAACACAGTTAATGAAAATCTAGTGCTGGTCTACAAAAAGAGAGAGCTGTTGTCCAAACTTTCTCACATCATAAACTTGGGTAGCAAAGAAAATGAAAAGAGATATTCATGATTAGAGCTGTTTCCAAGTATTACGCTGTGTAAACCTCAAATGTCGGATTTGGAAGGATGGGGAAAGAACAGAATAAGTAATTTTGTTTTGCAAGCTACATATAATCTCACAGCTGCTAGCACCTGTAAGGTGACACATCTCATTTCTGGATATTTTCAGGAATGTATTCCATTTTGCAGAGCACATTTCAAGCACTTTCCCTCTACTCTACCAAAGGTAAAGATTTTCTATACCCCTTACAATGGGTAAGAAGGTTCATAAAGAGGCCTTGTGAGGGAGTAGTAAGATTAGGAATTAGTAGAAATGTTAGTGATACAAAAAGTTGAAAACAAAGCAATAGAATAAAAAGTTCACATGGATTTGGAGAAGTAAAAGCAAGAATGCAGAAACTGTACCTGCTGTGGAAGTTAGCCTTTACCATTATCAATTTTTTTAAGTTAAGAGAAATGTTAAAACGAAAAGGAAATACTTTTGCGTGAGAAAAGCTTATCTGACTGCCACCTCCAGACACTGTTTAATTTATAACTGTTTAATTCCACCTTCTGATCTTTCCTACATTCTAAGAGAACATTATGGAACTTCAAAAGGAATTGAGGGGAAAAAAAAAGCACAGAAGGCTTGATCTTCCCTTACAAGGGGCACTGTTTTTCATATGCAAAACAGTACACTGACAAAAAGTAGTTTAAAGAGCACTAAGAGGAAAAAAAAACTGCTATCCCTTGAATACAATAAGCATCAACAAGCCACTACAATAACAGTCTGGCTTTCAAAGTGCCCTACAAAACAGGCAAACAAGCCTAATAGAATGCAAGAAGTTCAGGTCATTGTGAAGAATCCCCTTTGAGAGTGTTAGAAGTAGCTCTGTATTTTGCCCAAAATACCAGGAGAATACTAGATAAAATAATTTACAGTTCTATTAAAGAAAGCAATTTGTTCACTGTTCTTAAGTAAACAATGAAAAACATGCCTTTCAAAAATCCTAAATCCTCCAAGCTTTTAAGAAAACCAAGTAATGATGTAATTGTAATCAAATCCCAAAACCCAAGCAAAGGAACAGAGCATATCAAAAAAGGTCAAAATGAACTTAAAAAGATTACAAAGAACTCTTTGATACTGATCTCAAAGCTTAATAGGGACTTTGAAAATTTGTGATAAGTGACCACACAGCTACATCTGATTATAGTTTCTGAACAGTGAGTTAAAAAAAGAAGCAACTAAGCAGAGCACATCTTGCACTATTATTGCATTTGCACCATTTGATCCTTTCAGATGATAAACCTCTCTCTCCCTTCACCTACATCTCCCTAAAGATCAGAAGAGCAAGCCCTTCCAGTCACACTTTCAAGAGCACAAAGTCCTCAGTAATGCTCTGACCATGTCAAGGCAAACTCTTCTTCCTTGTTCTAAAGATCATAGAATCATAGTATCATTAAGGTGGGAATTTCAAAGGCCTTCTAGTCCATCCATCTACCCTCAGTGTTGCCCACAAAACCGTGACCATTTAGTAAGATACCCACATGTTTCCTGAATACCTCCAGGGACAGTGATTCCACAGCTTCCCTGGGCAGCCTGTTACAGTGCCCAGTCACTCTTCTGCAGAAGCTTTTCCTAATATCCAACCTGAAATTTGTGCTATGCCTTCTAATATGCAAAGTTGGGAGTTCAACCTTGTTTGGCACCACAATGATTTCCAGGCCTTTTTGATATCCCAGATCTGATGCCCCTTGTCTTTGTGCCTCTGCATGCTTGGAAGACAAAAGAATAGGATGTTCTAAATGGAAGAAGGAAATGAAGGGAGGAACAATAGGAAAAAGAGAATGGATCTGCTGGAGGTCGTGGAGGTGAAAATATAATCCAGGAACATTCAGGAACATTTACTGCTTTTGGAGAGAGAACTAAACACCAGTTTATGATGTTTTATGAAATTGAATAATCAAATTTAAGAAATCACATGGAAAATAAAAAGCACAATAAGGAATGAATATTTCACTTTTGAAAAGTGGATCTTGGCTTTTTGATATATCACAAGGGAGCAGACTTCTCTAATTACTTCTTGAAACTCACTGCTCTTCCAACACAACACACGCAGTCTTCAACATAAAGAGCTCCCCAAAACCTCTACAAAAATTAGCAGTCTTTCTGTGTCTGAGGAGCTGTGAGGGACTCAGACACTCCACAGGAATAAGAGGAACTAAAAATGTAGTTTGCATAATCCCTTTTTCCACCTCTACCATTTTCTAATCTTTATATACACTGTTCTGCACATGCTCACACCTGTGTTCCATTGTTCCCCTGTGCTAATTCCTACCTTTGTCTTCCCTCCATCTTCCCTCCCTTTTCCTCATATAGATGAGAAGTTATTTAGCCCTGGCTAACATATAGTCTCTTAAAGCTTTCTAAACCTACAGGTCCAGGCTGATACAGCAGGAATTCACTAACCTCAAAAACTCTTGCTGAAGTGGCCACTCCACAGTAAAAGGAGTTTGTATACAACAGTGCCATCTTCAGTTTCTATAGGAAGCCTGCAATACTGAAATAGGATGCTTGATGGAAAGAGAAAAAAAAAAGAGGCAAAGGAGTAAAACCACAGTCCTAAAACATGCAGCTATTCTTTTTTGTAAAAAAGTGGAACTGCTGTCTCCGGCTAACACAAGAAGGGCAGTTCTCATTCTGATCTCAGTTTTGATTTACAACCAACAACAGCTCACAAAACCTTAACTGTAATGGCAGAGGAATCCTCCCATTCTGAGCTCCTTTGAGGAACAGAGCTGTTAAATTGTATGAGAACATTATTACATATGAGAAAATTATTGCTTAGCTAGATATCATTGCTGCAGCCAAAGCAAAAAGAGCAAACTATTCTATTTTTCGTATTTGCTCCGTCTAAAAAAAAAAACCCAAGCAATGCTATACTGTTCCTACAGACAAAAGATTTCCTCAGTATGAGCTAATAATATATTCTTCCCCATATCACCTCCAGAATGCACGCACAGCCATTCACGCACATCGGCAGCCATTTACCTACTGCATCTGGCAAGCTTTTATAGACCTGGATCAGGTCCCCTCTCAGTCTTCTCTTCTCAAGGCTAAACAGACCCAGATCACTTAGCCTTTCTTCATAGGGGAGATGCTCCAGGCCCTTCACCATCTTTGTGGCTCTCTGCTGGACTCTTTCCTAGAGATCCCTGTCTTTTTTGTACTGAGGAGCCCAGAACTGGACACAGTACTCCAGATGAGGCCTTACCAGGGCAGAGTAGAGGGGGAGGATCACCTCCCTCGACCTGCTGGCCACGCTCTTTTTAATGACCCCAGAATGCCATTGGCCTTTTTGGCCACAAGTGCACACTGCTGGCTCATGGCCAACCTGTCCCAACATTTCACTTTGTTGTGTTAAATAAAATCATCTGGTGCTTAGAGAAAACATAGTATAGAGACAAAATTGGACTTAGACCCTAGTTTCCAAATGTTAATTTTATGTCTGCATAGAATTCTGTTGCTGCAAGCAAAAATTAGACAGAAAACCGGTACAGAATCATTCTGCGCGCTCAGCATCCCTCTTACCTTTTGCATTTAAAATCTTCTGGATTAAACTGTATATTCATGATTCCATAATTACTTTCATCGCCTCCTACAGGAATCAAGAGAGGCTTTGTATCCTCCTCCATATCTGGTGAATACACTTCTTTCTTCTAGACACTGACAGTTATTCTGAACAAAAGAAAGAAAACAAGACAAATGCAGTTAGGTAAGCTGTATATCTGCTATGAATTTAAGACTGGCAGTTCCACAGCTTCAGAAGCTCCTGAGGTGAAAATAGAAAACCCCATCGATTTTCTTCTGGGAATTGTCATTTTGTAATGCAAACATCACGGTCAAGTACGGCAAGCATAACAATTTCAAAACACCCTCCATGTTTAAGTAAAGTGTTCAATAAATCATTGTGCTGATTCTTCTACTACAGCAACAGCCAATATAAATTAAAGCACTGTGATGGATGTTGCTTTTACACTGGTATTGAAAAAAGTTTGTAATCTGAATTTTATTTTTTTTATTTTAATTTTATTTGAGCTGCCATAGCAAAAAACAAGTCCACCATATGGAAAGTAACATTAAGTATTTTTATGTGCAGGTCTTATCCAACCTCACAGCATAAGACTCCTTTCTACTGTTCACACTGTTCCTCTGGAAGACTCCTGTGATTTTTAAAAGAGTTGTATTTGCAATTAGCAACAGAACAGCTGAGAACAATTTATCCAAATTATTAGAGACTACTGTTTCAATAAATTACTTCAAGCTTTACAGCAAATACATACACAGTTTTCCAGTGTATTTCCCAGAATGAGAATAAAGATAGAATCATAGTGGTGTATCATGTCCATGTTCTTCAAATTAAAGACAACTGGCTTAATGCATTAATAATTACGTATTGCATGCATTCAGAACACTCCAGGCTAAACAAGAGAAAGCAGATTGCTTTTAAGCAAATGGAATTATATTTTCTTCAACTGAATCACAGTTCTCACATGGGACTTGCTGCAGTCTCATGTTCAGATGAACAAACATAATGGCTTAACACCTGCTACCTGCTGAAGAATTCCTCAGCCAAGGCATACTTTTCAAACAAAAATGGTAGAGGTATCTGCTTTTTCAGTGCAATTGTTTCCTGATATTTTGTATGGTAGACAGGCTGATGGAAATATAAATGGGAACTAGAGATAGCAAAAGATCAAAAAAGATAGCACTGAATGGAACGATAGAATGAGGTGATTTAAATCCACATCAGGCTTGTTGTCCACCTGGATACACATGCATGCCTGTGCAAAGGAGTATAAATGATGCCATTTCATCTCATAAGGATGCCAGTTCCTTCATGCCTTCAGCATGCATGACACTACAATTCATGACATAAAAGATTTGAGTTAAGTCTTTTAAGTTTAAAGGCATGATTTTATCTTGTTTATCTTGGCAGTGCAACAGATCACAAAAAGTGATCAGATAAAATAAGACAATTGTGAAAGCATTCTTTGCAGTCTGTGATAGCGCTACCTTTTTCTCCCCCTTCATTTTTGCTGTCGCACTCCTCTTTACTCCAAAGTCCTTTCCTTCTGCATCATCACTGTTAGTTCTTTGGCCTCATTTGGAATGTCTTAAATACTCTTTTTGTTCTACAGTTTTCTGGTGACTCTTACTTTTCACATTCCTGCTCATTTCCTCTCTATTTTCTGCCTCCCCTACACACTGTCAAAACTGCTTTCCAACTTGCCTTTAACAACCACTATTTACAAAGAGATTTCTTAATTGACAGCAATATTTTAATTTCCTTTCAGGTGACACTCTATTCCTTTCCAAATCCCATTTATAGCTTCCCATTTGATCATTTCTCTTCTACTGATTTCTCATACATAATTTTCTATAGCTCTATGTCACCTCTTTTCTCCCTACTGACTACCTTTATGACCTGCATACTCCCACTTTAACTCATCTCAGTGCACCACTTCTAGCTGTTCAATACTTTTGAAAGAAAACCATGGGATTAGAGACTTCACCTACAACTATCCACCTGTTCCCCTGTCATTCCCAAGCCCTTCTTCATCCCTCTGATTGCACCTTGAGAAAATAGTCTTTATGGCTTTATTTTTGTTGCTTTTAATGCTCAACTCTACAGCTCACAGCTTCTTTCTTTCTCAGTAAAACTTTACTAGAAGTCTCAAGTGGAAGACTGATAATCCAGTATTAACTGTTCCTTTTTATTCTGTTCTGTTGTCTTTTTCAGCTTTACATCCTGCATACTTTTCCCAAACAGGTACACCCTTACCTCAGGAACTGAGATCCCTCCCTTCTGCATTTTGCAACCTCTTTTCTCTGAGTTTAAATCACGCTCTGGATTTAGCCAGAACAACACAGATTAAAATTTAAATTTCTAGTGGATGGACTGGAATTGGAAACAGATTCAAACCTCAGTACTCATCAGTGAATTTAGTCTGAATTTTCCAGAAGACTGAGTGACTGAGATCTTTTCCTTCCTCGGGCTCTGATTATGGTGTGGATGAAATATCACTTAATGCATCGCTTTTCTAAAACCTCTTGTAAATAATGTACTTGTGCTTTATAATTCAATCTGAAAAATGCAGAAAACAATGATCACCAGTAAGACTTTCTCTGCACTATGGCTAAAAAGAACCCAGAACACTTTCAAATATCCCATAAAGAAAAACAATCCTTCCAAGACATAACATGCACCAAGTCAGGCTTGAAAGCATATTTTGGGGTATAGCACTGTTTATTTGTCTTTTAAGAGCCTACTTAAAAATAAACCCTTTTCAAAAGTCTAGCTTATAAGTGCTTATTTTTCAGAATAGGTAAAAGAAGCTCATGACCAGCAAATTAACTACTTTACAAATAGATGCAGATATCAAAACTGTATGATATGATAACTGTAGCCAGAACCAATGTAGCTTAATGTACTTAATGTAGTTCTTTTTGTAAGCAAAAGAACAAAACACAGAAGAAATAACCTGATTAACTTATCTTTTTATCTAATGTCTACTCCTCCTTGCCTGGATTGCACTGCCATTAAATATTTTTTATATACAGGATTAACCAGGTTGTGATATCCAGACTTATTGCCTGACCATTTCCACTACATCAAATACTTCTCTCCTGATTATTTTAGTAGTGTTATAGCTACCTTGAGCTTTTATACTAGGAATCTGACCTAGGCTCACCTAGTCTTGGAGGTTTATCTTTTAAAAAAAACTTATGACAGACAAAATTCTGTACATATCTTCCAATCATTTAATCACAACTGTCATGCTACCAACACAGTCACAACAATCATTAGAATCTAAAGACCTACAAATTCAAACACCATGTCAGTGTCATGAATGGTGGTAAGTCTGCACACACTTGTCCTCTTGTCCTGTTCATAATTCTCCCATGAACATCTGAAGCACTGTATTAGAAAGCCAGCAACAGCAGGTAACAAGCAAATGAGAATTTACTAATCCAGGTTTTTCTGTGGCTGGTAAAGAAACTGTGAAACAATACCAACAGGTACACAAGTCCCACTCCGGAATACACTCTGCATGACTTCTAGGTGAAAGTTCACCACAGAGGTGAATTTTCATTAATGGTTTGCTCCTGCCAATTTATTTTTTCTCTACCTCCAGTTCTCCCTCTCTCCTGGTTAGTTACAAAGTTTGAAAAGCTTCAAGAAGCAAAACCAACAAATCACCAGATTAAGAAATCTCTAGCCTGGTGGTGCTGTGATCTAGTCTTTGCAGTGGAGGACAAACATACAGTACAATTTGCTTGTACTGTGAATCTATGCCAGCACTCAGTTCTGCTACGGGTATGCGTGTCAACACTTTAAAATGAAACACCCAACTGCACAGATCAGTGCAGGCTTTCTGCCTAGGCCATGGAAAGGGGTTACCAAACAAGTATACACCACAGCAGACACAGAACTGTGTTGTTACGTCAGTTATCCTGGTTATACCACAAGCTCAGACCATGCTTAACTGGTTTGTAGGACTCTTCTTCATCAGAGAACTCTCCTGGGAGAGTGGGGGAAAGAAGGCAGGCAGGGGAACCACTACCACAGCCTCCACTGTGCCATCCAGTGTCTGTGCAGTTGGAAATGGTGCTGGAAAAACAAAACATATAGTTCTGAGATCTATTTACACAACAGCTCCATGTAATCAAAAGCAAAGCTGATGTGCTATGCTAATAGTGATTCTGCAACAATTTCTTAGTGTAGGGGAGACTCAATTGACAAGCCATCACATACAAAGCCTTAACTCTATAACTGTGAAGTCATGCATGTTACAATATATAATCAGACAAATCAAATTTAACTTGTTCCTCTTTAATTTGCCTAATCACAACAACAATCTCACAGACAAAAGCTGCATCAAAGACTGTTGTTAAGCTTACATGCAACAGTAGTTCCCTATGTTTTCGTATTTGTTGTGGTTCTTCTAAGTACATCTCCCAGTCAACTAGATTTCTCCAGTGAAAATGTGGCAAGCAAACCTATGGACACAATCTGTTGTTATTTAAAGTATAACTTCACATCACATTCATGGCTTAAGAATTACAATCCACTAATGCAAGTACTTATTTTAAACAATAAAAATGATTTCAGAAGTGCTACTTGCAGTGAGGTGGGCTGTCTCCTAAATTCTGAATGAATGAAATGCAAGGCATAAGTCTCAAGTATACTGCAGGCTATACACATGGAAACTGTGAGAAATAAGCAGGCTCTAACCTGAAAAAAGGGAACTTCAAAGCAGAACAGAAGAGCTTCCAGTTTCCTTTTTTTTGGGGTAATGAGCCCTAGGTTAGAAGGCGCCGAAGAAGTAAAAGTAGTGACATACATTCAGAGCTCCTTAAAACAGGGACATCTTGACATGGATAAGTCAGCTTATCCATATTCTCATAAGACTGCAATGGCTGAAAATTAAAACATGCAAACAGTGTTAAGATAATGTCTGCTTTGTTAACACTCCCTGCAGATACAGGCTGCACTGCTATTAAGCTTCTACAAAAGCAGTTCCAAAAATAATGCCTCCTATTTTATGATCTCAGCTCACAACGTCAGAAGCAAATACTGGTGATATGACAATACAGAATGAAACTTCCCATCAATATTCCTTTAAATTTTGTTGCTGTGTGACAGTTGGCAGCAGAGGGGCAGCCTGACAGAATGGTGTGTGACATGGAAGTGCATGAGAAGCAAAGATGTGGCACTGAATTCCTCCATTTGGAAAAAAGTGGCACTCACTGACATTCACTGACACTTGCTGCACGTTTCTGGAGCCCAAGCAGTGGGAGTGAGCACAGTGAGGCGGCGGGTGCTGCGTTTCAGCAGTGGTGACAGCAACAGTGGGGCACCTTCACTGTTTCATATGTTTCTGAATGTGGCATGCAGGCTCTTGTTCATCACCGGCAAAAATGCACAGCTACATGTGATGACTACGTTGAAAAAGGATGTTCTGTAGCTGGGAGCATCCTCTATCAAACAGTGCTATTGTGCTTTTTGTATCTGTTGCAGTTCCTGTGGAAATAAATAGGAGGCAGTACTTTTGGAGCAACCTCTTAAGTACCTCAGGCTGAATCCCCGGGCACATGGCTACTGACAGACGGTGTCGAAGTAAAACGTAGAAGAAATTAAACGAGCTTATATTCAGCAGATAAAGAGGCCATTCTTTGGACACGCATACACGTCTGCGCAGATTCTAAAGAAATAGTTACAATCGTCGGAACGCGAAGAAGTTAAGCATCTTACTGATCCCACCACCACCGTTAAGGGAACAGGTCTGCGGGCTGTCAGAACGGAGCCAGGCTGCCAGGCTCCCCGGCGACTCGCGAGCTGCCCGTTCGGCAGCGCTCCGCTCCGCACGGCGCTCCGTTCCGCTCGGCTCCCCCGCACGCGGCTTCATGCCGGCAGCCGGCGGGGCCCGGCAGTCAGCCCGCGCCGGCCTCCCCCTCCGCGCGGTCCCCCCTCTGCCGGCGGCACGCAGGGCGCGGCTCAGCCCGCGGAGCGAAGCGGCCCGCGGCGCACGGGTCTCCCCGGCCGTGCTCGCCGCCCCGCCGCTGGTGAGGCGAGGAGAGGCGAGGCGAGGAGAGGCGAGGCGGCGGCACCCCGGCCCTCCAAGCGGGCTGCTCCACTGCGCTGCTGTCTGGACCCCCGTGCCGGCGCGACCTCCTACCTGCGGCCCCGGCAGCGCTGTGCGCCGACAACAGGAAGCGACCGCAAGCGCCCAGCCACGGACTACGCTTCCCGGCGAGCCGCGCGGCGCCGCCCCGCGCTGCCGGCCTGGGCCGGAGCTGCTGGAGGCGGGGAGCTGCTGCGTCGCGCCTCTCGTCTTCAACCGCCGCTTTGCAACTTCTGCGGCGATGCAGAGCCGCGCGCTCTGACGTGTTGTTCACAGCGATGCAGAACTGCAGCGTTGTCAGCACTTCAAAGGCACAGGCCGGGGTGCGGGCCTCCGGCGTTTCGGCTTGTCTGGGCTGCATTCAGTGAAGACGAATTGTCTTGGCCACGTATACAACATACAATAAAGTTAATGAATACAAGTAACAAACTGATATATATTTCCCTGTTAAAAACTATTAAATACAGAGAGCAACAGAAAGGTAAAAGAGGTGGGATATTTGGCCTCGTTTTTGTAAAACAAAGGCATCGGTCTTGTTCGTGGCGGTGGCGGCAGTTGTTAGTTCACAAGGTGTTGTCAGAGATTTTTGATGAAATTTTGCTCTTCCTGTGCTTCATCCTTGAAAATGGCTGTGCACAAATGTGCGTACTGCAAAAAAAGTGGTGACATGTAAGAGGCCCTGGTTGTGAAGTTGGGAATGTTTTTCTCTTGTAAGAGAGCGCTTACAAAAGTCTGGCAAAGAGACAAGATGAGATTTTTCTTTCAGATGAATATCTGATTGCATCTCTATCTGTGCCCTTTGAAAATTTGCAGGTAATGTATTTATGCTGACTGAAAATGGAGTTGAAAATACACAAAAAAATTGATGAGATTTTTCTTTTTTTTTAATCTTGAAACCTATTCTCAAATTTCGTTACCAGAACAAGAAGCACAGCTGCATGTTTTTCACTGTTCACAGGAGTGTGTTTAGCCAGTGTATTTAAATGCATAATATCATTTGCCATAACTTGAGCTTGCCATAATGAAAGTTTCGTTTTGAAAGCTGTTATGGTCTGAAACATAGCATGGGTAAGATGATTTTCAGACTGACAATGCATGTTTAACTCATTTCAGTGAGAGCTCAAATCCATCAAACAAGTGAAATCTGTACACCGTTTTTCATGTTTAAGTTCTGCCACAAATTTTTGTTTTGATTTCACACATGACTAGATTTCATTTTGCAAACCATGAAATCTATTGCCAAAACATGCAATTTTAAATCATCAGCTTTACTGCCCAAATTTTCACAAACACACGTAACGCGACAGAGACAAAACACTGGATTTGGCCTCAACAAGCTGAGCAATATTGTTCAGGCCAAGCAGTGCCCTCGCGCTTTTCCTGGCTCCCGCCTCACCCATTTTTCCCCTGGAATCAAATCAAATACACAAGTGTAACAAGCCTGGTGCCATCTCAGCTGCCATTAAGTAGCATGTGCTGCAACAAGATGTCTACCACACACTCTGCTCTGGATGGTGGGGGGACTCCAGTCAAAGTAGGTTCCCTAGAGTAGGTTGCTCAAGAACAGTTATAGCACTGTTGCTCACAGAAAATCACTAGTTAGTAAGGTTTTGGTTGTCGTTCCCAGTTAAACCAAGGTAGGAACACATCCTTTTCATAGTTGTACTGTAGGGATGTTTATAAATCTTGCTAAGGAAAACTGAACTGCGTGCAAGGAAGACAGCATTGACACAGCTTTCCCACATAAGAAAGCTATTTTGAAACAAGCTCAGCACATATCCTAATCTGTACTTCCTCAAACACAGCCCAAACCGATAGCAGGGCCAAGCAGCAGCACTGCTCCTTCAAGGAAACTGCTGCATAATCTGAATTTCAGAGTGCAAGAGGAAACAAGGCAGCAGGCTAATGACCTGTCACCCTGACTCTCAGCTATGTGTGATCAGATCCGCTCCAAACTCTACTTCCTGCAGCCCTTTTTTCACTCTCATCTTTTACACCTTAGGCACTCTTATACTTCAAGTACTCTGTGGCTTTTGTATATTTGAAGAATTTGGTCAGTTAGTCACAAGTCCGGCCACGTGCTATCATATTAGTTTGAAAAGCAATGGAAACACCACCTGCTGATGCTATAAGTGATTACAACCAAAACACACAAACGCAGAGCTGTGGGAAAAATTGGACATTTTGATCATACGAGAAGCTAGTCCCACCCTTGAAATCCACCTTCTGCATCATGTGCTATGAAAGACCCAAGCAGTTATTGCCATAGCAGACATACAGCTTCTATTTCCTTATCTTCTTTGTAATTAACTACGCAGCCTTGGAAGATTTTTGCTTGGAAAAAGGATTTTTTGCAAGAACTGTAATTTGTTAACAAGGAAACATGAAATAAATGTAAATTCTCCTGCTGTCCCTTTTATTAAAGCACTAGCTTTAGAAACGCCTTTAAAAAAGAGCGTTCATTGTGCCTGCATTGCACTGTGCTGTGCTTTCTATTCTGCGGCACCAGCCTTCTGGGCAATGCACATATTCTGCCGCACATCTGGGTAGTGCCTCTGAAAATGGGAACCCACGTTCACTGAGGGCCTCCTGACGAGTTCTCCCTTTGACAGCAGCGAGGGCTCCTGGGTGCCTTCTCTTCTGTAAGCCAGATAAGCCCAGCTCCCTCAGCTTTCCTTCACGGAGAGACTCCAGCTCTCTGATCAACACTGCAGCCCTCCTCTGGACCCGCTCCAGCAGCACCTCGTGCTGGAGCCCTAGCCTGGACGTGGTATTGCACATGGGGCCTCACAATGGCAGAGCAGAGAGGGACAATCCTCTCCCTCAGCCATTAATTTTACACGTGCTTAATTTTGTCCACATTTTTTGCAGCAGAATCGCCCACGTTAGTTGTTGCGTGACACAGCTGAATTCACTAGGTCTCTGTGACCCACAGCCACTGCAGCACATGAGGAGCCACGCAGGTGTTCCGATGCCTACAGGACAGCCCTATGGACAGGCACGCCCTGCGACAGCCCACCCGAACCGCCTGTCTTCATCTTCTGCCCGCGCTCCTCAAAAACCAGAAGCGCAGGCAGGAAAAGCACCGCCCACAGCCTCACCCTTCCCGCCCAACACGGTACCGCCCAGCCGCAGCCGCCCGCTAGGAAATCTAGCGCCACCTTCTCACCCCGCCCCCACTACGCGCCCCTAGCGGCCCTGACAGCTGCTGCGCATGCGCCGAGTGACGATGCGCGCTCCCATTGGCTGGCGGTCGAAGCACGGCCGGGGCACGCGGTGGCGGCTATATAAGGTGTCTCGGGAGACAGCGCCATGTTATTTGGCGCCGAGAGTGAAAGCTGTGGCCTTTGGTAGGGGAGGCGCGCCGCGCCGCGGAGCAGCGGAACCGGGCGTGGTGCAAAGACATTGCGTGCCAGGGAGGGATGCGTCGCGTGTTCGCATCGCGAGAGCCGTCGGGATAGTTGGGTCTGGGCGAAGGTGCTGCTAACCTGCTCCTGGTCCTGCAGGTGAGCTGCCGGCGTTGCCATGGAAGAGGACTGGGACACGGAGCTCCTGGAGCAGGAGGCGGCAGCGGCTTCCCAGAGGCGTTCTGAGGAGCAGGCGTGGATGGTGAGTCGTGTCCAGGGGAGGGCGGCGCGGCAGGGAGCGGGGCGCTGGGCGCTGGGCGCTGAGTGCTGGGCTGGCCCAGTCTGGGGAAGAGGAGGCCGAAAGGCCATCTCGGTGCTCCCTGCACTCCCCGGTGCTGCGAAGTGCAGAGAGGGAGGTGCAGGGCTGTGCTGTGGGAGCCGAGGGCACCGAGCTGCCCGAGGAGGGAACGGCTGTACCTGAGGTGCCAGAGCCTGGCGTGGGCTGCATGCAGAGGTGACAGTCTTGTGTATAAATTACTCGTATGCAATCTTGCTGTTTTATTACACGACAGCTAAATGCTTTGGTGTGAAGTAAAGGGTGAGGTAGAGGAGCGTAATGAGAGGGAGCTAAATATTATTTTATTGCTTGTGGGATGAATGAATATCAGAAAAAACTGCTGTGAATTTCAAGAGGACCTGTTAAGAATCTTCGGTAGTTGGCGTTGGTCTTACAGGTCTTACAAATGAGCCTTGAGCAATGGGGGGTAAGGAGGGATTAATGGGTTATCCAAATGGGTGCTGAGCTGAGAGTACAGTTGCCTAAAGAAGAAGTAGTAGAATGTACTATCAGAACGATAATTTTGTTGGTTTGAGGTTTCCTGTAATGACTAGTAGCCACAACAAGAAAAGTACTTAAGCTCTAGTAAAATAAAAAGAAGCACAATCTGGAAATAAAAATGTTGGCAATTTTTTGATGTTCCTCTATCACCTGGTGCTTTGGCCTACTAAAGATGTCTAACCTTTATTAAACAGGAGAAATTTAAACCTGGGCTTTGCTGGAAATAAAACATTACAGTGGTACAATATGAAAATTAGTTGCTATTCTGAACTGTTTCGGGTGGGGTATCTGAATCTTTGAATTGAGTGACTGACATCTTTAAAATGCTTAAGGATAATCTGTAAGCATGCTGTGGAAGAAGAACAAGAATGTAGTTGTGAAGCTGATGGAAATAGTCTTATTCATGATACTCGTAATCTGAAACCTTTGTAAGCCTAAATTGGAGAAGAAAATACTTTAAAAGATTGCTTTGGGCAACAAATGTTTATAATGGGCTTTAAATGTTTGTTAGCAAAGTGAAGTTGATGCTTCCACAAGTCTGACAGGAGGCAAGATAATCTTGTCTTCATACTGGTTGTATATAACTTGGTTTTGGTGACATTTGTGTATGAACATCATGCACTTCAGTGTAATGAAGTTTAAGAAACTTTGAACAGAACAATTTGAAAAACTGTGTGCATGGGTGTAGAAGGGAATTTATTTCAAATGGGAGACTTAGCAACTAAATGCACCTTTACTTCATGTATATTTTTTTTGGCCTGAAGGTAACATCGTGATGTCCCCTTTTTCCCTGTAGGCTAACTCTGGCAGATCAAACAGCCCATCCCTCCGCTTCTCCAGCAGACCAAGCAGCCCCTTGTCTGGATTCCCAGGCAGACCAAACAGCCCCTTCTTTGGCTTTAGTCAGAATAAAGGCTCACTCGGTATGCAAAAACTACTTAAGATTTTACTAACATTTGGGGAAGCTGGTGACTTGAAAAGTTTAGAAGGTGTAACATGGTACTATTCTTGTTGTTTTTAATGTTTTCATGTGTTCTCCCATGCAATAAGCAATAACAAATTGTACAAATAATATAAGGAGTAAGTTTGACTTATGTTCCTCACTGCTTTGTTGGTGTTGAATACATTGTATAATTTAAAGTGAATGGATGACAGCTGGGTTACCATTTCCATGAATGCCTCTGATAAATAGTGTTGAAAATGAATAAATACTACATGCAGTGTTGAGCAGACCTATCGTGATACTTCCTGACAATTTTAATGAGAATAAAAAAAGTCACAAGAAGCTGTTGAAACATTAAAAAACAAAACAAACAAACAAATCTAAACAAGACCTTACATTGATGTAATTCTCATTTTGTCAGTTTCCATAAAGTACTCTTGGTTTTATGAAGATTATGCCTTTTTAAACTTGAACAGGAGTTTTAGTTGTAATAGGCCGTGCTGATGTTGCTCGAAGCAGTTTGTCCAGCACTTACTTGGAGTGATGGTACAATAGCCAGATCAGGAAACAAGTTTTACTTAAAACTGACAGAAGGTGGGATAGGGCAGTCAAGGAGTACTCATTGGTTTTTATTATTAGGAACAAGTTTTGTTGAAACTGCATGTGAATGTTTTAACTTCAGTGAAATTGTGTCTGAGATAAATAGTTCATATTTAGTTCAAACAGCCGTGGAAGCACACCTAAACTATTTTAACATGTCATGTTTAGCACAGATTAGATTCTTTTTTTTATGAGCATTTAGAACAAGGCTAAATGATTATTGTTGATGTGTCATTCTTCTACCTCCCAGTGTGCAGGTAAAAAGGAGATTATTTTTTTTACCTAATTACTTATTTGCAAGATGTTGAAAAATTAGGATGGGCAAGACCCTGAAGTCAGTTCTGTTACTTGAACTGTTAGAAGTTGAGAATTCAGAAATCAGGTATTGATGTTTTTTTTTTTAACTCCCCTGGAAGGGCTGGATAAACCTTTCTCTTCTGAAAACCTTTAATTTATATTTAATTTATTATTTTAATAATAATGAATTGTGCTTCAGCTGATGTTTAAAAAAAAGTGTGCAGACTTGCAGAGGGTACACTCTGTCCCTTGATCCAAGACTTGATTGAAGATGGTAAACTCCTTTGGCTCCATTAACAGAGTCTGGGGTATTCCACTAATGGTTGATCTCCACCTGGAGTTTATGCTACTGATTGCAACCTTTGGGGCCCAGAAGTTCTCCTTAGTTTCCAGTTATGTAGGGTGGATTTCATTGGTTTATATATGAGAATGCTGTGGGAGACAGTGTCAAAAGCTTTGTTTATGTACTCTTCCAGGTGCTAATGAAGGACCTAACAGAAATCTGTATATGCAGCATGACATTGGAGGTTATTCTGGGAGCAGAGGTAGGATTGTGCAGTTAAAATTTGTAGTTTGGGGGATTATTAAGCCTTGCTTTTGGACAAAATACTAGGACTGGCAGCCTTATTACTGGTACCTTAATAGATACTGAAATGTGTGTCAGTAGCAAAGCTGTTTGTGTATGATGCTGCTCTGTTTTGGAAGGCAACTGTATGTGCCCCTAGCATTGCTGTTTAAGGGCATCCTGTTGCATCATGTAGTAGTTTCTTATTGTTCCAAATTCAGCAGGAGTTTACTTGCCAGTATAGTGTGCTGACCTTATTCATGCTGTCAGCTGAGTTCTAATGTGCTTTGTTATGTATAGATTTAGCTGAATATTGGAATAAATTTTGTTTCTTATTTCCTCCAGTAATGTCTTACTGTAGCTGTTAAACACTGAAATTGATTACTGTGGCTTACCTTAAATTCACAGACTGTGAATTAAAGGTGACTATGCATCAGTTGCCTAAGCATCCTCTAGCCCTCTTCTCAACTTGATCCAGCTTTGAAATGCAGTTTTTTTGCTGTGGGTTTTCTTTCCTCTCTTGGGAGCCCAGACTATATACAGTTAACTGATACTACTCCAGATTTTCAAGACCCTTGGAAAAAAAATTGAGATCTGTTATACTGTCCAGCCCTCTGAATACTCTGGCATGAAACCTACTGAGTCCAATAAACTTATCTGAATCCAGGTGGAGCAGCAAATCCTGTACAAGTTTAGGTTTGACTGAGTAGTTGGCTGAGGAACATGACCTCCAACTTGGGGCATCTGGGGTCCCTGAGTTCATAATCAGAGTTGAAGACAGGCATAGAAGGCACTAAATGTCTCTTGCTTTGTCTTTGTCCTTGTTGTGAGATGACCATTGTTCTCTCTGGTCTTCCTTTTGTTGTTAATGTATTAAAAAAAAAAAAACACTTTTTTGTTGTTTACCACAGTATTGACCAGCTTCAACTTTTAAAAGCTTTGGCTCTACAAATTTTTTCACTGCAAATGTGAACATCATCCCTGTAGTCATCACATGTAGCTTGACCTTGCTTCCAGCAGCTGTGTGCTTTCTTTTTCTGCCACAACTTTAGAAGAAGATCCCTGTTGAGACAAGCTGGCCTTCTGCCCCACCTTGATTTCTGCATGAGGAATTGTCTGGTTCCTGTGCACTCAGGAGGTGATACTTAGAGTAGGCAGTGCTGACACACTGGTGCCTTCAAAAGCTGTTTCCCAGGGAATGTTAATAACTAGTTCCCTCCTCATATTCAGGGTTCCCTCCTCATATTCAGGGTTGAGGTTTTGGTGGCAGTTTTACTCCTATCACCAAAGATTTTGAATTGAATACTTCTTGGTCACTGTGGTCAAGATTGCCACCATTTGTAACTTCACCCATGAGGCCTTCTCTGTTCATGAGGAGAGATCTAGGAGGGCGCCTTTCTTTGTTTTTCCTTTCCCATAGTGCCTGTACCAGCAAGTTTTCATCAGGGTGTTTTAGCAATCTTCTGCATCTGTTTATATTACTTGTGTGGTGTTCCCAGTTAAAGTTTGTCAATTAAGTGCTTCGTAAAGACAAAAGCAGTTAAGTTTGAAATCTCCCTGGGTTCCATACAGAGTGGTAGGTCAGTGTCATCATCCTGGCCTTGTGGTCTATGGTAGACTCCCCCAGTGACATCTCCTTTGTTTTCATGTCCCTTAATCCTTACCTAGAGGCTGTCAACCAAGTTGTTGACAAGTGTCAGCTCCATACAGTCCAGCCTCTGCACAACAGTGTCACTGTCCTTCTCTGTCTCTTCTGAAAAGTCTGTTACCATCCATCACACCATTCACGGGGCTGGTTTCCCATACAGTGGTGATGATGTAGCTCTGGACTGAGGCAAGGCTTCTAGCTCTTCTTCTTCATTGCTAGTTTATCACCAGCAGTGTAGGTGCACTTCAGCTGGGTCATTGGTCTCACCCTCATCTATGACATGCTGTCCCAGGCTTATCTCTAGTGAGCCTGGTTTTATTTTCTTCCCCCCTTAATATTTAGTTTAAAGCCCCCTTACAAGCCCTGCCAACTCTTGGGCTAGAATCCTTGTCCTCCTTTGAGACAGGTGAGCCCTGTCTTTAGCCAGCAGGCCTGGTGCTGTATAAACCATTCCATAACTGGGGGGAAAAAAAAATTCCTTTGGTGGCATGAGCCTTTTAGCCATATGTTGATCGTGTTGGTTTTCCAGTCCTCTCAGTATTCTTCCCTGCTACTAAAGGAGTTGAGGAAAACACCACCTGAGTTCTGCCCCTTCAGCTAACTGCCCTAAGGTCCCTCTTGACAGCCCTTGAGCTTCTCCCATCAATTTTGTTGCTGCCAACCTGAGCTACTAGAAGCAGGTAATGTTCAGAAGGCTATGCAAGTCCAGAGTGCTTCCTAGCAATATTCCTGACTAGGGCATCAGGGAGACAGCAGAAGCTGAAGGGCTTTGGGCTGGCCATTCAACAGCCTTCCTTTGCCTATGAGATTATTGAGAATGTGCATCCAGGTTCTTTATTGACATGCAAAACAAGAACAAAGATAAGCAAACACAAGTTAGAACAAAAGATTTTTAGACTTTTTATAATTTCCATGAGGGCATTCCAGCACTGGAAGAGGTTTTTAGAGAGGCTGTTCTGTCTCTATTCTGAGAAGTTTTTAAGATCTGCTTGAGCAAAGTTCTGAGCACTATGATGGAAACTGGATGTTGATTATCTCTGAGTGGGAGACTGGATCAAAAATTTGAGATCCCATTCATCCTGAATGACTCTGTAATTTTAATGTGGATTTCATTTAACAGAACAAAACAACTAACTACCCTGAAGTCAAAGATGATTTTGATTGTTGATTTATTTTCCTAGCTTTAGATTCTGTTCTGCGTCAAAACAGAGAAGATCAACCAGTGACTGGATTTGGTAGAGGGAGGAGTTCTGCAAGCAGGGGTAACTTCCTGGAGTGTTTTGTTCTGTGACTGTTTGTATTTGATAATTGTTTTCCTTATTTCTGTATTCAGTTTCATTGTATCAGATCCATGTGAGTGTTTATGACTTGAAGGCTAATACTAACACTTGCGAAAATAACTAAACCTGTATTTAAGGTCTGTAATACTTAAGAATGTTTATACTTGGCCTATCCCCTTTAAAATGCAATTTTTGTTTTGCATTTAGAAAACTCAAATGATGGGCTATTTATGAGTCAGTATTCACTGAGCATTGGTGAAGGAGCTACAGACATTGTAGGAGAACTTCTTGGTCTCATCTAGCAGAATATGATCAGCTAAACACCACAGAGAATTTCCCTTACTCTCCAATCTTTCAGTGGAATGGAAAAGAGAATTAGAGAAAAAAAAGAGAAGTAGAATTCGTAGGTTGAGATAAAAACTGGTTACTAAGACAGAGAAGGAAGAGAGAAATAATACTAAGGATAGTAATACATAAATATTTGTAGAAAAGTGATGCACAGTGCAATTGGTCATCACCTGCTGACTAATGCCCAGCCAATCCCAGAGCACTAGCTGCTCCCCTGGCCAGCTCTTCTCATTTTTATATTTTTTTTTCACGTGATGTCATATAATATGTAATATCCCTTTGGCCAGTTGAAGTTAGCTGTTCGTGTTCCAACCCTCCCAGTTCCTTGTTCCTGAGTCGTCTGGTTGGCAAGATCACTGGACAAGCTGAAAAATTGAAACATCCTTGTCTCTATGCAGCACTGCTCAGCAATAACTAAAACATCAGTGTGTTATCAGTGTATTTTTCCTCCCAGAGACAAACATAGTATCATACCAGACACTATGAAGAAAATAAACTGTCTCTGCTGAAACCAGCGTAATGATCTTTGTCACTGCAAAATGGCAGAACAAATGTTCAGTTGTAAAGATTAACAGGTAAATAGTAATAGATGTGTAGTACATTAAAATAGGTATAATAGAATTTCATTTTGAAAGTTTCTCAGTTTTGTTTTGGCTTACACTAATGGTAGTGGGCTTTATGTGACACAGTTTAGTATAACTCCTACAAACTGTAAAGTGTTTTTTTCCTCCTGGCTTTCGAAAAGCCAGAAATACATTGTGTCTGCACGGTAAATGTGAGGCTTATTGGTAAACTGGGTTAATGCAAGCATTAAGAAGCGTGAGGAAATAGAATAGTAATGTGGGACAGCAGTTAGAAACTGCAGTGCTATCTCACTATGGTACTGCTCGTGAAAATAGAGAAGGCCAGTTTTCCTTTGGATTAACCAGAGGAGTGAACACTTAATCTTAGACTTCCTTCTGGCAAGATGCAATACAAGAGGGCAGTAGACTTTCTTTGTGTTTTTTAGGGGAAAAAATAAAATATCATTTTTCATGTTTGGGCAAATCATATAGCTTTGTTAATTCTAATGAAAAATACAAGTAAAGCAAGGACTTTACAGGGTAATCAAATAAAAGTCACTTAATGTGTATGTGCAAAATTGGACAAACTAAGATGTTGTGTGTCATGATGCAGATTTTCAAGAGAGGGACTCCGCAGATGATCCTGGTATGCAAGAACAAGGTTTTAGAGGTGCTCCTGGCATCTTTGGGCAAAGCAAGTGTAAGTTTTATATTGACTGGTTTGTGTGGGTCTGTACCTTAGGTCATTCTTTTTGATTTGATTACTCTTTGAGAACTAAAAGTACAAGGTTATGAAATAACTTTATTTCTTCAGGTGTGTTGGGTACCTTCTTTGCAAGTTCATATCACTGGAAATAATACAGAATAGGTAAAAATTACAAAGAATCTCCTAAGGATATCACACCATGGATTTTGTCATAATAGTATCAGCATTTATCCTCACAAGGGGAAGCAGAGGTGCTGGTGCTGACCAGTGAAAGCAGCAGGACCCAAAGGAACAGTATGAAGCTGTATTGGGATTGTCAGGTTGGGTGTTAGGAAAAGACTCTGTCAGAGGTTGGGTAGTGAGGCACTGGAGCAGGCTTCCCAGGTCATGGCTGACAAAACTGCTGGAGTTCAAGGAGCATTTGAATAGTGTATTCAATCAAAGGATTGGAATTTTGAGTAATCCTTTGTGGAGGCAGGGGATTTGATCCTCATGGGTCACTTCCAGCTCTGGATATTCTGTGTTTCTGTAATACTAGCATTGGGCGTAATGCTTTATAAAACTAATTTTAGATGTCTGCCTTGCTACACTTTATATTTCTTACAGGTTTTAACAGTGAGGTAAGAAACAGTCCTCTGCGTGGCAGCCCTTTTGCCCCAGGAGTAAGAGGAGCACTTGGGGGTCCTGCAGGTAAGATGTTTTTAGTAGCATGATTTGTGTCTTGGATTTTCTCATTGCTGATGTGTAGCAAAGCAGTACTGTCAGAGTTTTGGTAAATGATGTTAGTTTTGTTTTTTCCCCCACTGGAAATTAAAGACCTATTGCAGCAGTTAGATGGCTTGTTTTCATATTGTTTAGAATCAGAATTTTACTCAACTGATTGAGCACTGATGTAGGAATTATTAATACTTTTATGATGAATCACAAAGTTAGGTTGTGTGATTCTTAGTAGCACTTGATCAGCGCTTAATTGTTAGCCAGTTTAACATAATGGTTCAACAGTTTACTACAGTCAAATACAGAAACTTAGTTAAAGATTCAAGAGTGGCAAGGTTCACAGTAGGGTGTTGGAGGGGGAGATTTCTAAACTTAGTTACCTACTTGAGGGTTTTCTCTGTGCCCCAGCAGGTTACTCACTGTTTTTGTTGACTCAGCACATGGCTGAGGCATGTCATAAAGAGAGATTTTCTTTGCTTTCCCATCTGTATTACGCATGTCCACTTCCTACATAATGAAGTGTCTTTGTTCCCCGTAGCATTTTTTTCAGGTTCATTCTGTCTTCTAGAATGACTGTATAGATAATGTGTGTTTAAAAAAAAAAAGTAAGTTTAGGTTCTTCCCTTCACTGTAAGAATCTCTCTCCCCCCTGCCACCCTGTTTCCTTCGATACTATGGTTCATAAAAATTTATTGTCAGGAAATATTTTCTAAGATTAAACCCTTGTCTTAAAAGGGTCACATATTTATCCCATATATTATCTAATGTCTGAGATATGTTTGTCCCTCAAGTACATTCTACATCCAATTTGAAAATCCATGTATTGTATATAAAATACTAAGAAGGTCGTATAAATGTGGCAAAAATAGGAATGAAGCAGCTGTCTTTTCTGTCATATGTTAACAAAATGTCTGCAAGCACACATCTCTGTGTGTGGGGAGGAACAAAGACTGGGTCTCAATAGATCACAGTGGAACAGCTGCTTTGCTAACAGAACACTAAATCAGAATCAAGTCTTCTAAAAAGATTTAGTACAAGTTCCCCAGAATATGTGGTATGCAGCATTCAGATTATTCTTAATTAGGTATTTTCCTGCAATTCCCATTAGGTAGACATACCATTTTCTAACAGATTACCTGCAGCTCTTTCTAGGGAAGCAATCCCCTTTGGGCTTGCTTCTTGTAAATTAAAAAAATCTTGCAGCTTACACAGGTTGTCCCAGAGTGTTTAATCAACTTGCTTAGCTGGTTGGACTAAAGATAGAAGTCCCTTTTTCCATTCATAATATCATTGTTCAGTTTCTTGAAATGCAGCTAAGCTAGACAATAAGTAGTCATGCTGCTGCTTCTTCCCTCACTTTTTTGAGGGAAGTTCCTTTAATTAGAGTGTTACTAGTACAATTTTACATCTTTGGGAGACAAAACCATGGAATTTTAGCATGTACAATGTAACTCATTTTGTGTGAGAAGCATAAATTGTCTTCCAAATCCTCTTTAACTTCAGAAATTCTACCACTTGCTGCAGCAGAAATGGGGTATTCTGGTATGTTAGTAGATTTGGCATTAAAAGAACATAAGAGCTATGCAGAATTCAGTAGGTGTGCCCAGCTGTTGAGCTACACGTGGCCCAGCTCAGTTCACACTGCAACTTGTGCCCCCTGCCACTACCTCAAATTTTGTGATTTGTTCATAGATGAAAATACTGATGCTACAAATATGAGTCAACTTGGAATTTCCTTAGAGATATTAATAATGAATATAATATTACTGAAGAAATAGCTTCTTTGGTGCCACTGAAAGATAGAACTAGATCTCTTTGAATTTCTCTTTGAATTGTATGAAGCAGTAAAAAAAAAATAGATTGAAGCAATTTTCTTTAACCTTTGTCAGTGAATCACTGCTGATGATGCCCTGGTGATGGTTGGTTAAAAAATAAAAATAAAAAAGAGGAATTTATAAAGTAATAGAACATGATGCAGTTTCTACTGGTAATTCATGCTTGATGAAATGTTACTGCATCAGACATTAAGAAAATCTGTGTGCAAAAACTTTACAAAAGGATAATGTCATGCAAATTGTATCAAAGCCATGAATTTTGTAAAGTCTAAGGGAGTGAATAATTGCCAGTTCCAAGAGTTCCTTAAAGGTATGGGTGATGGTTATGGGGCCATCATTCACTTTTTTGAAGAAAGGTGGCTAAGTTGGGGGAAAATGCTAAAAAAGACTTTGCAAAGTGAAATCAAGTCATCTATGGAATTGAAAGGAGAATTTGTCCCACACTGTGAAGATTAAAAATGACTAGCAAATTTAGCATTTTTTGTGGATTTGAGTGCTCGTTTAAATGAGTTACATATTCCTCTTCAAGATGAAAATCATCTGTGGTGTGTTTCAGATAGTAACAGTGTTTGAAATGAAACTTAAAGTATGGCAAGCTCAAGTTGTGGCAAATAACATCATGCATTTAGATACATTTGCTAAACACAGTTCTGTCATCAGTGAAAAATATGCAGCTGTGTTTTCCATTTTGGTAAAGAAATTTAAGGGAGGTTTCAAGATTTCAAGAAAACAATTTTTTTTAATATTTAATTTTCATTAATAATGAAAGTTCATAATTAAATTTTCAGTGCTTAGCTAAATACTTAAACTCAATCTGTCAGTCATACTGGGATATGCTGTTGAGTTTTCAAAGTGTTTTTGGATACTTTTTTTCATTAAGGTCCTTATTTAAAAGTTCTCTTAGGAGTTCCTCTTTCTAAAACAAGCTAACTTTGGACTGCTTCATTTAGCTGGAGTTCACAAAGGACGCTATGAAGAAATTGATTCTGGAAGAGGTAAGTAGCTTCATAAGTAACATGTCAATTTTAATTTGCTCTTGACTCAGCAATTTCTTAAGATTGCTGTAATTCAGTTCATAAAACAGAAGGTAGTGATTTGTGTAAATTTATAACTCTGAACTGTATAATGTAAATTGTTAAGCATGTCCTGTTAAACTCTGTTTAAACTGTGTTCATCTTTATTTAGCTGAGAACAGTATTGCTCCAAAATTTAAAGGTGGTTAGTTTTGGAATGAACTGCTGTGGAATTCCTCTTTTGAAACAACTTTCTCTTCTTTCTAATGGTAATTGTTACCTACTTGAGACACAGCTATTAGACATTAATTGGCTATCACATGTAAGTGGTGATTACAGTTACAGAAAAATGCTATGGAAGCAGTAGGTTATTCATTTAAGCTACCACTTTTGATGTGCTATGTACAGAAGACAGATTTGATGTGTTTTACTGAGTTAAGATTGGTAAATAGAATATTATGATTTCTATGTACAGGAAATCATGTTGAAATGTTTTATGGGTAACAACTTTCTAGCATGGATTGAATATGTCAGCTTATCAGGGTGTTCATTTATCTTGAGTGCGTTTGCAGGAGAATTTGGTATTATTTGGCTTTCTTGTACTTCTAAAATGCAAAAGGACAAATAATGAATACCTTAATTTTGTATGAATAATTTTGGTTTATATTTGTTCCTTATTTGAAGTTTGTGTGAGAAGACTTCCGTTGCAAATCTTTTAGTGAACATCAAATAATTCATTTTTACATCTGAGTTTATTAGCTTGAAAAGTCCCTTACAGAATGCTGAAGTATAAATGAACTACCAGGGACAAATGAATTATATTTTTAATATTAATAATTTAATTTTTGGAAGGTAGAGAAAATATACAGTATTACGAATTTTTTGTGGTAGTTGTGTAGGAGCTAGCATACTTTTTGTTAGTATCTCTTCAAAGTAAGATTCCTGTGGAAATGTGAGAATGCACTATAAAATGGCCTTACAAAGGTTTATTTTATCTGCAAGTGAATTTTAGGTCCTGCATTATAAAGCTAAGTTGTAGTAGAATTCATTTATGAAGTATCTTTGTCTCCTGTAAGGTAAGTACTAAGGACTTCAATAGTGCAGTACTTAGAACAGTCTTAATTGTCTTAATGCTGTTTATTCTTGTGTTCGTAAGGTCCAAAGGTGACTTACGTGCCCCCTCCTCCACCTGATGATGAACAGTCCATCTTTGCATGTTATCAGTCAGGAATTAATTTTGACAAGTATGATGAATGCGCTGTTGAGATGTCAGGACTTGACCCTCCAACACCATTACTGGTTAGTGAACACTTTATTCTCAAGTGTTGAGTGTGATTCTGTGATTTTTCTGTTTAAAAAGTAATATGCAATTTTGCTTCCACATAACACAAGGTGGCTAGCTTTTTTAAAGAAAGGGAAAGGATTGGCTTCCTTCTAGGAGGAAGGATAAGGGCAGAGGGAGTGGAGGTAGGAGAAGGCGGTGAGGGGTGGATGATGGGGGAAGTGAGAGTGTATTTTCTGTATAGTGCTTTTTGCTCCCAGATAGGAATGTTGCTTGAGCTCTCTAGCAGTTTTAGTACAGACATTAAGAGTACATCATAGTAAATCTACTACAGGAAACAAAGCAGAGGAGTTGTCCAATTTCATAGTGTACCATGGTGTATGTTTCCTGCTTGAATCCAGATGCTGTGTATAGCTTCTGTGAGGTTTTCTCTCAATGTTAGTAAGACCACTTGAAGTCCTTCACTGCTGTACAGACAACAATACTTCAAGACCGTGAGTAACTTGAGGAATACTTTGAGGCTTCTATTGTTAGGAACTTTGCTATCTAGATGACCAGTGAGACCCCTCTTCTAGTTGTTTTTCTTAGTGTCTGTGTACTACAGTACAGATGCAGTAAGTATCTCATTTTTTAAACATGCATGGTTGTGTACTGTACATTTTTTTAAATTTTCCTCTTGCAGGCTTTTGAAGAAGCTAACTTCTCTCAGACTTTAAGGAAGAATATATCTAAAACTGGATATTCAAAACTTACTCCAGTGCAGAAGTACAGCATTCCTGTTATACAAGCGGGGCGGGACTTAATGTCGTGTGCCCAGACAGGATCAGGAAAAACAGTAAGCATTTTCTGTAGCATTCATTCATAGTGTAAATTCACATCTTTGAAGTTTTAGGTGGGTGCCTCAGACTTCAAAATAAGCATTCTTTTGTCAGTAAGCATTTTTTTCTCATTTCAGTACAAGATAAACCATTTGACAAGTGTATCATTAAGCATAGAATAGATTGAGAGTCATTACCAGTTTTAATTTATTTTTTGAGTACTTCGCTAAACTAATGACTGGACCAGTCACTGAGAACATACAAAAACTGAAGCAGAAGTGTAGGCCATTGTGTAAACTGTTTATTAGGAAAATAATAGTATGTTGAGAGGGACTTTTTTGTTTTTTAAACTTTTGCTGGATTTCTATAGTATGTTATCCTTGTTGTCCTCAGTGTGACCAAACCTGATTTGCACCAGGCTTAGTTTTAAGTGATTCATTATAGTGATACAGAGGCTAGAGTTAAAAAGCTGGCAGTTGTCTCAACTTGTTAAACTGTTTAATGTATACAAATCTAACCACAGACAGCTCTGTATAATTGGCTATTAAACATACTATTTTGAATTCTGGCATTGTGTGGAATTCTAGCTTTGATAGATCCAGAGATTGATAATGTGTTGTTAACTTACGGATCTGATGATATATAAAGCTTCTAAGTATGTGTCTCAGGACAGTATTTGATCCTAGGGTGCTTAATTAGTACTCTGTCAGGATGATGTGTGGAACTGCCTGAAGAACTCAGAAATAAGTTAGTGTGGTGGTATTCTTGCAGTATTGGAATCTTAAGGACTAGAGAAATGTTTTCATACTTTTTAAGCAGGGAGGAAGTTTTGACCTTCTGTGATGTGTTGAGTTCAATCCTTTTGCAGTGTTTTTCTTGAACTTTACAGTATGCTGTATCATTCTGTCTTTAAGATTGATACGTAGCTTTAGCATGACCAATCAGTGCTTTAAGTCTAAACAACATGAAGCCAATGGAATGAGATTCAACAAGACCAAATGCCGGGTCCTGCACTTTGGCCACAATAACCCCAGGCAACGCTACAGGCTTGGGGCAGAATGGCTGGAAGACTGTGTAAAAGAAATGGACCTGAGGGTATTGACTGATGCTCAGCTGAACATGAGCCAGCAGTGTGCCCAGGTGGCCAAGAAGGCTAATGGCATCCTGGCTTGTATCGGAAATAGTGTGACCAGCAGGAACAGGGGAGTAATTGTCCCCCTGTACTGAGCACTGATGAGGCCGCACCTCGAGTACTGTGTCCAGTTTTGGGCCCCTTGCTGTAAGAAAGACATCGAGGTCCTGGAGTGTGTTCAGAGAAGGGCAACAAAGCTGGTGAGGGGTTTGGAGCACAGGTCTTACGAGGAGTGACTGAGGGAGCTGGGATTGTTCAGTCTGGAGAAGAGGAGGCTCAGGGGAGACCTTATTGCTCTCTATAACTACCTGAAGGGAGGTTGTAGCAAGCTGGGGATCAGCCTCTTCTCTCGTGTAACTAGTGATAGGACTAGAGGGAATGGCTTCAAGCTGTGCTGGGGAAGGTTCAGGCTGGATGTTAGGAAATACTACTTCTCTGAAAGGGTGGTCGGATGCTGGAATGGGCTGCCCAGACATGTGGTAAAGTCACCAACCCTGGAGGTGTTCAAGGAATGTTTGGATGTTGTGTTGTGGGACATGGTTTAGCGAGAACCATTGGTGATGGGTGAATGGTTGGACTGGATGATCCTGTGGGTCTTTTCCAACCTTAGTGATTCTGTGATTCTATGAACATACATTGATGCTTGTTTTAGGCAGCTTTTCTTCTACCGATTGTGGACCGGATGATGAAAGATGGCATAACTGCAAGCGTCTTCCAAAAGCAGCAAGAACCACAATGCATTATTGTTGCACCAACTAGAGAACTGATAAATCAGATCTTCTTAGAAGCGAGGAAGTTTGTGTATGGGTAAGCTTCTGTACTTGCTTTTAACTTATTCAGAAATAATTCTTTTTCCACAAACTTCCAAAATTTTCTGTCCCAATCAAATAACTAAGAACACTGGAGTTTAGGTAGGTAGTGCTGGTTAGCAAGTTTATTACTATATTGGGTTTTATATATTTAATGTATTTTATATTTTGATATATTTTTAACTATATCAGAAAGACATTGAGGCCGTGGAGCTTCAGTGTCCAAGGAAAGGCAACAAAGCTGGTGAGAGTTCTGGAGCATAGGTCTTAGGAGAAATCGTTGAGGGAACTGAGACTTAAGTCTGGAGGAGGCTCAGGAGCTACTTCCTTGCCCTCTACAACTACCTGAAAGGAGGTTGTGGTGAGGTGCAGCTTGGCCTCTGTTTTCCAGGTGGCTAGCAGTAGCAATAGATAGGCGAATAGCAGTAGCGTAAGAGGTAATGGCCTTAAATTAGTTTAGCTTAGTTTTATCTGATTGAAGCTTGTTATCCATGAAGCTGAATTAATGTCTTCAGGAATGAACAGTTAGAATTCAAATATGAAAATGCTTTCTGTATGCACGTAGAAGCTTTAACAGAATGCTGTGTAAGGTAGTTCTTGTTAATAGATGTGTTTTATACAGAAGATCTGATTTAGCTTCACTTGGTAGATAGAACCAAAAATCTCTGTTGGGAGAGTACTAAATTCATGCACTAACTCATGCTTAACTAGTCTGGTGGCCTTCGATGATGGAGTGACAGCATTGGTGGACAAGGGAAAGGCAACCGATGTCATTTACCTGGACTTGAGCAAGGCCTTTGACATGGTCCCCCACCACATCCTTATCTCCAAACTGGAGGGATGTGGATTTGATGGGTGGACCACTCGATGGATAAGAAACTGGTTGAAAGGCCGCAGACAGAGGGTGGTCATCACTGGCTCTATGTCCAGGTGGAGGCTGGTAACGAGCGGTGTCCCCCAGGGGTCTGTCTTGGGACCGGTCCTCTTTAACATCTTTATCAATGACATCGATGACAGAATTGAGTGCACCCTCAGCAAGTTTGCTGATGACACCAGGCTGAATGGTGCAGTTGACATGGTGGAAGGAAGGGATGCCATTCAGAGGGACCTCAACATGCTTGAAAGGTGGGCCTGGGTGAACCTGATGAGGTTCAGCATGGCAAAGTGCAGAGTTTTGCACTTGGGCTGGAGGAATCCCAAGCATCCCTACAGACTGGAAGGAGCTGTCCTTGAGAGCAGCCCTGTGGAGAAGGACCTGAGGGTCCTGATGGATAAAAAAAACTTAATATGAGCCAGCAGTGTGCCCTTGCGGCTTGGAAGGCAAATGGTATCCTGGGCACCAACAGAAGAGGGGTGGCCAGCAGGAACAGGGAGGTGATTGTCCCTCTCTACTCTGCTCTTGTGAGACCCCATCTGGAGTACTGTGTCCACGTCTGGAGCCCCCGGTACAAGAAAGACTGAGAGCTGTTGGAGAGCGTCCAGAGGAGGGCCATGAAGATGATCAGGGGACTGGAGCACCTCCCTTGTGAAGACAGGCTGAGGCAGCTGGGCTTGTTCAGCCTGGAGAAAAGAAGGCTGTGGGATGACCTCATTGCAGCCTTTCAGTACTTAAAGGGAGCCTACGAACAGGAGAGGAATCAACTCTTTTGAAAGGGTAGATAAAAGCAGAACAAGTGGAAATGGTTTTAAGTTGAGGGAGGGAAGATTTAGGAAGTTCTTTACTGTGAGAGTGGTGAGGTTCTGGAACAGGCTGCCCAGAGAGGTTGTGGATGCCCCATCCCTGGAGGTGTTCATGGGGCCCTGGGCAGCCTGGTCTAGTATTAAATGGGGAGGTTGGTGGCCCTGTCTGTGGCATGGGGGTTGGAGATTCATGATCCTTGAGGTCCCTTCCGACTCTGGCCATTCTGTAAATTGGTTCAGTGACGGATCAATTCTTACTGCTGTGTTGTACCTCAGTTGAAGGGGGGGGAAGAATGTATTTGAGGTAGTGTTCCTTCCTCTTGTATGCAGTGCACCCTCCAATATGTAGTCTGAATGGGAGCCTTGAGTGTTACAGCGATGGAATTTTTGGCCTTGGATTCTGCTGTTTGTTTTACACACACTATTATATGATAAAGGAATTAAAGCACTCGGTTTGTGATAAATTTGACTATATTTGCACATTTTCATGTAATGATACAGCTTACCTATGTAGGTAATTAATGTATTTTTTCTATACAATAGGACTTGTATAAGGCCTGTTGTGATCTATGGAGGCACACAAACAGGTCATTCAATACGTCAGATAATGCAAGGCTGTAATATATTATGTGCCACTCCTGGAAGGCTTCTTGACATTATTGAAAAAGGGAAGGTAAGCTGCTAAAACTTAGTCTGAGTTTCCTTAAGCTCTTTTAGCCTTGTATGTACTGTTGTTCATTATTCAGATTTATTAGAAGCAAAAATGGAATCATGAAGACCAGTCAATATGCTGCCTTTGAACATGCCCTTGAAATGCAAGTGAGCTTTTCTTGGAATTTCTAAATACTATGATAATTTTGAAAGTGTGGTGTGTCCGGTCTTTTCAGTCCTTATCGGGTCACACTGAGAATACCATTTTTAGATCAAATTGGCTGTAATGTTCTTGGCAATTAAATTGTACAGTTAAATAAATGGAATGTTTTGTCTTAGTTTTCATATAAAATCCCATAACACGTTTTCTCTATGTTGTATTCTCTTTGCTGCAATAGCTTTTATGTGTGGGACTGTGCTAACATTAATTTTTTGAACTTTTCAATGCTAATTTTATTCAAAATATAATAAATTCCAATTTAAGTATTTATTTTTCTAGACATTATAAATTCAAATTGAAATTGCTGTGTATTGGAATGGTGTCTCAGTGATGCTGTGCTGGACAAATATGGCCTGCAGAAATACATTGTTGGTAATAAACTGGAGATTGGCTTTTTCTGGTAGTTGGGCTTCTAGTCAGTCTTCATCCGCAGAACATACTTAATGTTATCCTTCACATGCTTTTTGACATGTACTTTTTACAGACCAAGCAGTTTTTGAGAATGCTAGGATTATATGAGAAAATCTTTCTAAAACTTGGACCAGTTTTTAAAACTGGTTTCAGACCAGTTGTGCTGAATAACAGTTGACCTACAGTAGGCTCCATCTTGATTTGCATTGTGGAACCAAGTTTTGAAGCGTTTTGATTTCAACATATGATTAGAATTGGTGCAGATTAACATTTTTAGAGAGCAAGGTGCAAATAAGATATAATACTGAGAAGAACCTGGGCTTTTATTTGTCATTTAACTTAAACTAGAAAGGAAATAAATTTTGACAAGTAAGTGTATACTGTCAGTGGAACAATGCAATTTTTCTTTCATTGAAATATTTACAGATCAGTTTGGTGGAAGTGAAATATTTGGTACTAGATGAAGCAGACCGCATGCTTGATATGGGTTTTGGATTAGATATGAAGAAGCTGATTTCTTATCCAGACATGCCATCTAAAGACAGACGTCAAACATTAATGTTTAGTGCCACTTTTCCTAAAGAAGTTCAAAGGTGAGCTAAACAAAGATGGAAATACATCTGAAGGTACACTTGTATAGATCTAGATGTCTGAAGGGTTAAGGGTACTCCTTTTTTTTGTTTAGTCTTAGAAACTTGCTAGAATAGACTGAAAAGCTACGTCATTAATATTCCTTGCTAAAATTGCCTTTTTTTCTCTGTAACAAATCTACATATATACATTTAAGTTATGCAGATGAAGGATGAATTGCTTACTTTCTCAGGAGATTCTTAGTTAGAATTCTGTGAAGTTTGAAAGCTCTTGAATCCATCTGCAGAAGTCTTCACAGTGCCCTTGGTTTTTTTGTTTGCCTGTCCTGCTCCGCACTTCTGTTTGAGCTTTAAAGCAGTGATCTTGCTCTTTATCAAGCAGCACTGGTACTGTAGTCTTAGCATTTACTGTAGACTTAGACTTAAGTATACCTACTGTAGTCTTAGGTATTGAGGCATAATTTAAACAGACAGCTTAACTATTTTTCACCACCAGACTTCCTCATATAGTGTCCTTCTTTACATGTATGATTGCTATTTGGTTTCAGTAGTTCTGAAACTTCCACTAATGGGTTTTAGATGCATCTTACATCCCTGCCACTCAATACAGGTAATTTTATTTTCCAGCAAGAAACAAGTTTTAACAAATGGAAATGGTATTGCTGAACCTGGCAGTAACAGAACAAAACATCCCATTCCCTGTAGGCAGATGAATGTTTTTCAGTATTTCCACTTTTAAAGAGACTAGCATCTAATGATCCTGTCTTAAATCAGAAGAGTATAAACTTCAGTTTGAACAGTTGACGTAACTCTGGTGGATTTTGTGTTAGTGATACTGTTATGACATTATGACTTCAAAAAAAAAAAATACTAGTAAGCATATTACAGTTGGATAGCATATAAACTGATTAGATCATTGAGGTGAAATACATTGCTGCTTCGGTGGGTCAGATTCTAAGGGCTTTGTTCTGACTTTTCAGCAAGGAAGGATATTTTTGGGAAGTGAGGAAAAAAGTATCTTTGTTAGTTGGCTGTTCTCAGTATGAGGAGGATGGACTGTCTTCTACCTTGTGATCAGTTAATGCAGCTTTTGGTGAGATGGACTGCATTTTGTGAAGTAAGATTGAAGTCACTTCAAACAGTCTTCTGTTGATTAGTGTAGCTTTGGTTCCTCAGTTGAACCTCTTGTGGAGATGTTTATATTGAAAGAAAGTCCTGTAGAGAACTAATAATTGGCCTTGTTTCTGCAGCTGTAAATCAAACATTCAGATAATATTGTTGATGATTGTGGTTCATGTTCCTTCTGTGTTTACTGTTCAGGCATGAATGTGATCTCACTTTCCACTATATACTTGAAAAAGATTTCCATTTAAGATGAGGAATATGCTCTAATTGGCTAAAGTTTTGGGGTTTAGAGAGAAATACTGATCTCTGGATTTCTAGATTGCCTTTCAGTTTTGGGGCTAATGCGCTTGCTACACATTTTTTATATGCATTGGAGAATTGAGAATACTATAACTATCAGCATCAGAAGGGAAATTGCCTTCAATTCAAAACATGTCAGATGTATACTGATTGCTTCCTCTTGATGGAAGAAGTTTACCTTGCTACTGTCAGTCTTAGAGGATTTCCAAGTGATAGTAGAAGACTTGATGTGAGTCCGTGAATCACAGTTTGGAAATGTCATAGTGTTCTTAAAGCCTTTTGAAATTAAAATGCCTAAAAGTAATATTCTCATTTTAGACAATTAGAAAGCTTTTTGTTTGGGGTTGGTTCCCTTTTCATATTCTGGAGTCAGAAAAGCTGATGATTTTTCCTTATTCTACTGTCAAAAAACAACTTCCGATAGTATAGAACATGGTGCTTTCTTTGGCTTTGTTCATTTCAAACTCTCCTGCACTTCTCTCCAGACTTGGTTTACACATACTGTTTAGTTTTGTTCTTGAGCTTGGATCTTAGCTATGACAAACTTTGATGTGACCTCTGTTGTGTAGAAGAGTTGAGAGCCATGGATTTCCTGATGTGAGAAATTTCGCTCAGCGGTTTTTCGGTTTTATATCCTTTGTTTAAGTGGAAGATGTCTTTTTTCCCCTTCTAGGTTTTTATTTAATGGACATTCTTCAGAGATCTTAAACTTAGCATTTACTTTCAATTTAGAACTGCTTCTCTGAGACTTCAGTTACCCTTCAGATCATAAGACCAAACAGATGTTAATCTGTAGTAATCTCTATATTTGCTATGAGAAACTAAGTGATTTAAATGTGGTATAAAATTAGGTGTGAGCTTCAAGTCCTTAAGTTGGGCCTTTAACATCTTTAAGGCTTCACTTTTTTTAGGAGTCCAGAGTTTAATGGAGGCTGCCTGTTTCAGTTAAATGTTAACTTGTTTGTGATATGAATCCTTGTGTAGTTTTGTTTACACTGGATATGAAGCGCACTTACAGGTCAACACAATTTAGTAAAAATTCTCAACTATTATGGGGTGCTTGTTGGCAATACTGATTTTGCCAAATTTGATCTCTCAGGTAAAGATTTGAGACCAGAACAGAAGCTGAGTTTCGCCTATGGGGCCTGGTAAATAAATGCAGTGGGATAAGCTGTATGTTTTTAAGTGGTTTTTTTGTTGTTGAATAGTCAAAAAAAATACGTCTCTTTGACTAATTTTGAGCTCTGGGTCGTGCAGGATTCTCCCTTGTTCTTTCAGATGGTGATGAAATAGTGCCCCAGAAATGGTTCTGTGAGCGTATGTGTCAGGAACATATTTCAGGCATTTATGTAGAACAGTTTGACTAAGAAATGCAGATTTGTATTTTGAAAAGTTGTGGGCCCGTCTGTGCACTGATCATTTTTTGTGTAACTGTTTAGGAAACAATACAATCTTCTCAGCCTTTTTTGAAAGAAAAAGTGTGTGTGGCATTACATTCTCTGCCAGCTGAGAAATTATATATGTAACTGTGGTGGTTGCTTGATCTTAAAGCAAAAATAAGCCGTGTTAATAGTGTTTGCTTCTCTTCAAGGCTGGCTGGTGAGTTTTTGAAAACTGACTATATATTTCTTGTTATTGGAAATACCTGTGGAGCCTGCAGTGATGTTCAGCAAAATATTCTTCAGGTTCCCCGGTTATCCAAAAGGGATAAACTAATAGAAATTCTACAGAGCACAGGTAACTTTCCTTATAACTGTCTTCCAAGAGAGAGAGAATAGCTTACTTTTAAACTTATGCTCTTGCTGTTGATCAAGTCATGACTGCATTCTGTTGCATACAAGACTACTGATTGAAGCTTGAAGCTTTTCCCAGGGAGTCATAGGTTTTAGAGAAGTCTGTGTTATGGGTATTTGTCAAGGTCTCACCTTTGAGTAATGGCACTGAAACTTCCTAGATGGTTAGTTTCTTTGCATAGACAGTTACTAACTGCTTTAGCACTTGATGATATTCACCAGAAGGTTGATTTATTAAATGTAAGCAACCACTTGGGCTGGAATTTTTTAGAGGCTAGAATTTTTGATTGTGCTCTGTTTCATCTCTTCTAATGCTCAGAACTATAAATGAATTTGATGTGTATACCTTGCTTTTCAGGATTCAGAATGGTGTCCCATGTCTAGCTATATGCTGTAGGAAGAGGCAACGCACTGGGACTTAACCACAGAGCAAAATTCATCTTTCATCCCTTTTAATGAGGAGAAAAATATAATGGCTATTGACCTGGGTTTCTGTGTTGGTTTAGAAATTGTTGGATTGAATTTGTTCAGAACAGGCAAGGAGTTGGAATTGTGCCATAAAGACTTAATTTCAAACCAGTTCTTGGATTAGATGTTCTTAACTGCAGCTGTAAATAGTGAATTTGCATCAGATTTCAAACTCCAGTACATCTGTACTCCTTTTTAACTTAGGTGGTGAACGAACCATGGTGTTTGTGGACACAAAGAAAAAAGCAGATTACCTTGCAGCCTTTCTTTGTCAAGAGAACTTACCGTCCACCAGCATTCATGGGTGAGTATTAAGTTGTTGAAGTGTTTATTAGATCAGTAGTAATGTATCTGAAGAAACTTTTCTTGAAATCAGCTTTTATAGGCTTAGTTTGTCTTGTAATCCTCAGCAGCTCTATCCTGTTGAAAATGTAGTATTTCTGAAGCTGAGTTTTATTACTTCTTTTGAGTATAGATCTTCATGATTGATTACATTTCAGATACTCTGTAAGAATGAGGTACTGAATGAGTTCTTTGCCTCGGTCTTCACTGGTGATCAGGATTCCAGTACTTCTCATGTCCCTGAGCCCTGCATACCTAAACCCCTCTCAGTGGGGACTGGGGTGGTAAATCCCCCCCCCGCTGTGAGGACAGAGCAGATCCGAAACCGCCTCATGAGACTGAATGCATACAAGCCTATGGGGCTGGATGGCGTGCATCCCAGGGTTCTGAAGGAGCAGGCTGAGGTGGTTGTTGAGCTGCTCTCCATCATATTTGAAAAGCTATGGCTGTCAGGTGAGGTCCCAGATGACTGGAGGAAGGGTCCCATTTACAAGAAAGGGAGCAAGAAGGACCCAGGAATACAGGATGGTGAGTCTCACCTCTGTGCCTGGGAAAATCATGGAACAGATCATCCTGGATGACATGCTTGATCACATGAAGAATGGGTGTGTGATCCGTGACAGCCAGCACGGCTTCACAGAGGAAGGTCATGCTTGACCAATCTGGTGGCCTTTTATGATGGAGTGACGGCATCGGTGGACAAATGGAAAGGCGACCGATGTAATTGAACCTGGACTTAAGCAAGGCCTTTGACATGGTCCCCCACCACATCCTTATCTCCAAACTGGAGGGATGTGGATTTGATGGGTGGACCACTCGATGGATAAGAAACTGGTTGAAAGGCCGCAGACAGAGGGTGGTCATCACTGGCTCTATGTCCAGGTGGAGGCTGGTAACGAGCGGCGTCCCCCAGGGGTCTGTCTTGGGACCGGTGCTCTTTAACATCTTTATCAATGACATCGATGACAGAATTGAGTGTACCCTCAGCAAGTTTGCTGATGACACCAGGCTGAATGGTGCAGTTGACATGGTGGAAGGAAGGGATGCCATTCAGAGGGACCTCAACATGCTTGAAAGGTGGGCCTGGGTGAACCTGATGAGGTTCAGCATGGCAAAGTGCAGAGTTTTGCACTTGGGCTGGAGGAATCCCAGGCATCCCTACAGACTGGAAGGAGCTGTCCTTGAGAGCAGCCCTGTGGAGAAGGACCTGAGGGTCTTGATAGATGTAAAACTTAGTATGAGCCAGCAGTGTGCCCTTGCGGCTTGGAAGGCAAATGGTATCTTGGGCTCCATCAAAAGAGGGTGGCCAGCAGGAACAGGGAAGTGATTGTTCCCCTCTACTCTGCTCTTGAGGCTGCATCTAAAGTACTGTGTTCAAGTGTGGAGCCCCCAGTACAAGAAGGACAGGGAGCTGTTGGAGAGGATCCAGAGGAGGGCCACCAGGATGATCCAGGAGGGGACTGGAGCACCTCCCCTATGAGGACAGGCTGAGGCAGCTGGGCTTGTTCAGCCTGGAGAAAAGAAGGCTGTGGGATGACCTCATTGCAGCCTTTCAGTACTTAAAGGGAGCCTTCAGAGGGGAGGGGAGTCAACTCTTTTGAAAGGGTAGATAACAGCAGGATAAGTGGAAATGGTTTTAAGTTGAGGGAAGGGAGATATAGGTTGGATATCAGGGGGAAATTCTTTACAGAGAGAGTGGTGAGGTACTGGAACTGGCTGCCCAGAGAGGTTGTGGATGCCCCGTCTGTGGAGGTGTTCAAGGCCAGATTGGGTGGGGCCCTGGGCAGCCTGGTCTAGCATTAAATGGGGAGGTTGGTGGCCCTGTCTGTGGCATGGGGGTTGGAGATTAATGATCCTTAAGGTCCCTTCCAACCCTAGCCATTCTGTGATTCTTTAATGGAGAATCTTACATCTGCTGCTAAACAAGAAAATTGTATTTAATAAATTCAGTAGAATCAGCTGTTGTAACACAAATAACAAAGACATAGATATAAACAAAAAAAAGACTTGAGACTCTGTTCATGAATTGAAGTGGGTGTTGTGGATCTTCCTGACTGTATTACTGATTCCCCAAAGCAATAAGTCAAGTCATTTGTATAGAGGTTTCTGATACTGTTGTTTCTGCCTCTTTGATGTGATCATGGACTTCCTAAACAGTGCTTTTATAGAGATTGGTGTAAAAAGATTTTTCTCTTGCAGTCTGATCATTAGTGTTGTGTATCCTTTTGTTCTCTCTTTTCTGAACTTACTTTCTTTGCCTTAGCACTCTTCCTTCCCTGTTTACCTTTCTATGCTTAGCCTTGAGATTATTTTACCTTGAAGCTGACCATAGATACACTTGTTGAAGTAGTCCTGACATACATATTTTCTGCAATTGCTCTGGAGTTTCAACCTAAAATAGATAAGTCTTATTGCTAATCCATTAAAAATTCAGAGAATCTAAATGGGGAGCATGAGGGTGATGGGTTTTTTTTTTTTCAGAACTGCTTCTGTCTGTGAACCTTGTAACTTGCATCTCACTACTGCAAATTTCAGAGATTTTCTAATAATTGTTTTCTTGACAGAGATAGGGAACAGAGAGAGAGAGAGATAGCTCTTCACGATTTCCGTTCTGGAAAATGCCAAATACTTGTGGCAACTTCGGTAGCAGCGAGAGGGCTGGATATAGAAAATGTTCAACATGTTATTAATTTTGATCTCCCTAACACCATTGAAGATTATGTACATCGAATTGGACGAACTGGTCGTTGTGGAAATACTGGCAAAGCAGTTTCATTCTTTGATGATCAGACAGATGGCCATCTTGTACAATCTCTACTTAAAGTGCTTTCAGAAGTAAGTTTCAAATCTTAGTGCTGAACTTCTCTGTTTTGAAGGATCTAACTTCAGTATACTAAAGCAGGAATTATAACTTTATTGTGGTTAATATCAGTTTAAATGGTCAAAGTTTATAAATTCCCTTTTCTAATTACGTAGGCTCAGCAGGAAGTTCCAGTTTGGTTGGAAGAAATGGCTGTCCAAAGAACAAATGTTGTTGCATCACTTGGTGCTCATAGAGTAAGTCTGGAAGTCTTTGCTGTTGGGATTCTATGTCAGTATAAAAGTGTGGTTAGCAGCATATATCCAAAGTATATATTGCTGAAACTTTTGGACCTGAGTCCCTTATCTTAGCTGTGCATCTTAAAAATTCTTAATGTTTCTGAAACTCAATTTGGATAACTTGTCTTAAGTTTGACTGTTTGCATTGTAGCCTTGCTAGCTGCATTAGTCTTTATCTGCAGTATCAAAAGTGACTTTAAAATAATAGGTTTTTGCACACAGCACAAAGGCTGTAGTTCCAAAAAATTCTCTACTGCTTATGCATTTCACTAAGTAACTGATTTGGCTGACAACTTAAGGTAATTGTAGCTAGATAAATTCCTAATCTGATTCATGTCAAAAATTTCTATGGGTGAGGAATTTTATGGTTTCTTAACATTGCTGTTACCAGATATGAGAATACAACCTGAGTAAATGAGACAGTCTAAGTAGCATAGCTGTCAAATCTGCTGTTCTGTGCATACTTGAATTTTTTTTAAATCAGTGTTTGATAATTCTTGCTACTTCAATTACTTACTACTTCAGTTTTGGTGTTAACAAAATCTGTTACTTGATCTATTGTTTTCATAAGAAATTTTACAACATCTCAGTTGCATTCCAGTTGTTGATACACTGTTAGAGACATCAAGAGAAATAATTACTCATTTTGAGTTCATATAGTGTCTGAAGTTGGAGTTCAAATTCAGATACTCCTTTCATGTTTCATATTTTTGCCTTCCGTAATTGTGAAAATGAGTTATTTTGGGTGTATCCACCCAAATGTCAAACCTGAATGTTTTTTCCCTTTGGGTTGTCTTTGGGACACTGAAACTTCTTACTTCTTTCTCATGCTTGAAGCCTCAGTGTATATTTATATACACTGTATATTTGTATATTTATATGTAATATGTAAATTAATATGTTAATATGTAATATGTATGTGTAATTGCATTCAAGCACATTTAATTTGTTTAGATTGCTTCCAAAGGCAAATCTCATCAGTTTTTCTAATTGGCTTCAGAATACACGTCAACCATTGTAGATTGTCCCAGTACTTCATGAAACTTCTTATTTCTAGATCTGAATCAGTCTTTCATGTCCTTTGCAATGTCTGAATTACAAAATCTGAAATTTTTATTCCACCCATTCATAAATAAAGAAGTTTCAGAGGAAACATGCTTGCTGTTTGCTATGGTTTGAGGATGCTGCCCTATTAATCATGTATATGCAGTGCATGAACTCTGGATCTTCAAATTCTAATGCCTGCTTTATGAGCCCTCCTGAAAACAGTGATTCCAAGAAACGGCACATTCCTATTAGTATTTTTTTCTTTGAAATAAACTAGTAATCCTAGTTTTTTTCCCCAGTGCTTTCCAAATCATGACAAAGACTGATATCTAGTATTTTGTTATGGTGCTAATATAACTGTGTCATTTGGAGTAGGCTTTTGTAGCAACTCAGATGTTGTAAAGGACATGCTGATGTTCTTTATCCTGGGGAATAAGGAGAACATCTTTATTTGTATGCGGTGTTCACTTTCTCTTTGAAACGGAATGCGTGAAAAGCTCATCTGATAATAAATGATTTACTTGGAACTGCTGTCTGTTGGAGGTTTTTATCTGGCAATTCTTGAACAATCTTGCAGTTGACTAGGCTTTTCCAATGGAAGAGGATTTTATTAGGAAGACAGTGCAGACAGTCATCCTTAAGAAAGAGGAGAAAGTTTTTCCTGGACATTATATGAACCAATTTGTGTTGGGTAGGGGAAAAAGCTGAGATTTAAACTTTGGGAAAGATTACTCTCATACCGGATAAAAACTGAAGTTGATGAAAGCATGTTGATTTTAGACTGGAATCTAAAAAGCATTTATGGAAAGCTCCTTCCTTGTTTTAAAAGTTAGTGTTCAGATTATATTGAGGGTTATGAATGCCAGTTGTTTTGTAGCAGCTTTTATTGTTAAAAGCTTGATACTGTTAATGATGATTCTAAACTAGTACCCATTCTCTTTCCTAGAATAATGCAGGTAGCAGCAGAATGAACCCGGGAGAAATGAGGATGTCATATTCTCAAAGAACATTTAAGTCATGGGAGTAAAGCAAATTTAGTACTAAAATCTGTTGTATTCTGTTTTGGTTTAAGTTAACTGTTGCAGTTAATGTTTAATTACTGTTAAGCTTTATGAAGTGCTTTGTGTTTACAAGCTACCTTGTATCTCATGATGAAGCTTTCAACAATGAAGAAGGAACCTATTGTTGATTCTCACTCAATTTAGGAATGCAAAAGCCATTTTAAGGAAAAAAATAGCCTGATACTAAGTGTTAAATGTTTCAGTCAGTAGGTGTTTGCTGACGCTTGTATGTTGCTATAAATAATGTGTTGCTATAAATGAGTTGTCATCCCTGTTTTGCTTGCAACTGGAAAATAGCATGTCATTGGAACTTAATACTTTGTTATTAAAATTCATTTACATTGCAACTTGAAAGCAGTGTATGTATTTAATGCCCTGGACAGCATGACTCCTTTTCTTGACAATTCTCCTTGAGTATTTGTGTGTCCATTATGACTTTCAAGCTAGAAGTTTGGGGTTTTCTTGATTTGCTCACTGCAGGAAATACATATGAGTAATATTTTCTGGAAGATGTACACTTGAAGTCTTCGTCTATGAAAAGCAACCAAAGTAACAGCAGTCATGAGTCATATGCATCTTAGAATAAGCCTTCCAAGAAGACTGACTTATCCTTGTTTCAAGGATCACTTCAGTCACAGGGTGCTTTTTGCTTTGCCTCAGGATGAGTTGTGTAACTGACTAAAGAGGTATTCTGGATCTGTTGTAGGCTTGCACTTGATTTGTAGGTTGTAAAATAATTGTTAGCATAGTTTTCGTATGTTTTGTGCATTTCATTACATTTAGTACAGTTCACAAAGCATCTCAAATTATTTCTACTAGAAATGTGTAAACACAGTATGTCTTTGAAGTGAAGAGTGAAGCAAAGAAGGCATTCAGCATTTCTGCCTTCTCAGCATCCCCCACTTCCAGGACTCCTCCCTCGTACAGGAGGGGAGCTGCATTATCCCTAGTCTTCCTTTTACCATTAACATACTTGAAAAAAAAAATGTTCTTGTTATCCTTTATCTTTTCCAGCTTCAACTCCAAGTGAGCCTTAGCCTTCCTTGTTGCACCTGTGCAGGCCCTGACAACACTCCTATATTCCTCCCAAGAGGATAGGCCCTTCTTCCCCATTCCATAGACCACCTTCTTCCATTTGATCTTATCCATGAACTCCTTGCTCATCCATGCAGGTCTCCTGCCTCCCTTCTCTGATTTCCTACTCTTAGTGATGCACTGATCTTGAGCTTGGAAGAAGTGCTGTTTAAATGTTGCCCAGCTCTCTCAGGCCCCTTTAACTTCAAGCACTCTAGCCAAGAGACACCTCCAAATAGTCCCTGGCAAAGGTTGAAGTTGGCACTCCAACATTCCAGAGTAGCAATCCCACTTTTTGCCTGGAGCACCTCCCTTGTGAAGACAGGCTGAGGGAGCTGGGCTTGTTCAGCCTGGAGAAAAGAAGGCTGCGGGGTGACCTCATTGCAGCCTTTCAGTGCCTGAAGGGAGCCTACAAACAGGAGGGGAGTCAACTCTTTGAAAGGGTTGATAACAGCAGGATAAGTGGAAATGGTTTTAAGTTGAGGGAGGGAAGATTTAGGTTGGATATCAGGGGGAAGTTCTTTACTGTGAGAGTGGTGAGATTCTGGCACAGGCTGCCCAGGGAGGTTGTTGTTGCCCCGTCTGTAGAGGTGTTCAAGGCCAGGGTAGATGGGGCCCTGGGCAGCCTGGTCTAGTATTAGGTGGGAAGGTTGGTGGCCCTGTCTGTGGCATGGGGGTTGGAGCTTGATGATCCTTGAGATCCCTTGCAACTGAAGCCATTCTATGGTTCTTCCACTCAAGAGTTTGAACTCCACAATCTCACGATCACTGCATCCTAAGCTACCCCCAATCTTCACATTGCTAACAAGTCCATCACTTTTGGTAAGGATGAGGTTCAGAAGCATCCACAGCCTCATTGGAGTCTCCACCATCCGCATAAAAGAATTATCTTCAATGCATTGCAGGAACCATCTGGACTGTGTGTGTCTGGCTTACTTAACAAGTATCTGGATGATTAAAGTCCCGCATGAGAACCAGTGCACAGGATTGTGAGGCTACTTCCAGCTGCTTGTAGAAAGCCTCACTGACTTCATCGTCCTGATCCAATGACCTGTAGTACACCCCTATAACAATGTCAGCCATACCAGTCCTCCCGTTAATTCTCATCCACAAGTTCTCTGCAGGTGGAGCTCGATACATTCTAGTTGGTTTCAAATGAGGAGCAACTTCTCCACTTCCTTTCCCCGACCTCTTTTTCCTAAAAAGGACATAGCCCTCTATGATTGCATTCCAATCACTGTATCTCTGTAACGGCAAGGAGAATCATGGCCCTGTTCCTGTACACGGGTCTTCACCTCATCCTGTTTATTTCCCATGCTAAATGTGTTGGAATACAGGCACTTAAGAGAAGCAGCAGGTTTAGTTACCCCTAGGGGGACGTAAGATTTTGGACAGGATATTGGCAGAATGACCTTCTCTGTGGATCCCTTACACGGTCCTATGGGACAACTCAAAAGTCTTTCCCTGCAACCTCCAACAGTGACAACATCCTCTAGCTCTTCTCTGTCACATCTAACTCCCCTTCCTTCCTCCTTCAAAACTAGTTTAAAGCCCTGGTAATCAATTAGGAGGGCTTGTTTCCCAGTATGCTTGTGCACCACTTGCTCAGTCAGAGTCCATCAGAAGCCCACACAGCTGGTTTCTCGATCAAAATACCCAAAACCTGGATCAAGACACCATCCCCTCAATCAGTCATTTACCTGACATGTTCTCCTTCTCTTTTCCGGGTCCCAGCCACCCATCAGGAGGACAGAGGAGAACACTACCTCCCTGATCCCTTCAGCATCTTTCCAAGGAATGCAAAGTCCCTTTTAACATTCTTTAGTTTCCTCGTTGCAGCATCCTGGGACCCAGCCTGACTACCAATAAAAGGATAGTAGTCTTTGGTTTAATGAGCTGTGGTAGAACCTTCCTAATGTCTCTAACATGTGCCCCTGGAAGACAGCACATCTCTTTGGAGAGCGTATTTGGGTGGCAAATGAGAGCCTCAGTGCTTCCCAGTGAGGAATCCCCAATTACTAAGAATCTCTGCCCTTTTTTGGTCACACTGGTATTGATGCAGTGTCCTGGTGAGCCCCGCTCCCTTTGCTTGTTACTCCCTGCATTCCCAATGTGCTTCTCATGGCCTGTCTGCCTGAGAGCCTCGAATCTATTACTCAGGGACACTATGGGGATTGGTGGCACTGTGGGTGCTGGGGGCAGACGCCTCCTGTTTCAAGCAGAGATTAGGTCCAGACCCTTTCCTCTCGTGGGTTGTTCAGCCTTCTGTCCTGCAGGTGAGCAGCTAGATTGGCTATTTCCACTTGCAGGGTCCTCGCTAAAATGGCAATTACAATGACTTTGCTTGTGCTTTTCATATGTTTCATATTCTTTAATGTTGATTTGTAGGTTTTTTTTTCTTTCTTTTTTTTTTTTTTTAACCTATGCTTTCTACAATTGGAATATCTTTTTCTGCACATTGAAAAAGGTCTGTTTTCTAAGGGAATAAGACTGGCCTTTTCTTTCATTTAAGTAGTGTCTGAAGGTGGTTGGAGATGTTACATGGAAATATTTTTTTGCTTGTTTTGCGGAGTATTTCTTTCTGCTGCTTTGCTTAAAATCAAAATTCTGTTTAGTTTAAGGGTTTGCATTTTTTTTTATTGCTGTAATGTTTTTGAGCTGAGGTCAGATTAGTCAATGTAATTCTGAAGTTGAAGACATGACTGTTGTTTATAGAACTTGCTGCTGTGTGGGTTCAGTGAATGAATCACAGCACTTTACTGACATGGAGTGATATTTTCAGTGCTAAGTGGTTCCTCAGAAAAAGTAGCTAGCTAAGGCTTCAAAGACTTTAATATACTTATTTCTCTATAAAGAACTGTTGTGGATCCCTAAATTTGGAAAGGTTTGCTTAGGCTAAATCTTTCTAGGGACAAGTATTTTCAGCCCTTTGGCTACAAGTTAATACTCAAACTGCTCACTTTTCCCTCATTTCATTCATTTAAATTGCCATGTGTATTAGTTGTCAATGCTTTTATCTGTAGACAGTTGTCCACCAGATGGCAGTCAAGATGAGTGCTTTAAATATTTCATTAAAAAGATTGAAAACTGAGAACGATATAGCTATGATATTCTTAGGTGCTTCTAGTTTTTTTTGGTTGGATTTTAACTTCAAGTCCTTGTGAATTTTTTCCCTATCATTACCTCCATATTTGTAGAAAAAATGCTCCTTGTATTTCAAAGTAGTTCAAGACTGATCTGAAGGATCATGACAAGACAGTATTGCAAAATGCCATCAAGCATATACTTCGCACTTTGCATCTTGCTTATTCCAATTTCTGTCAAATTGCATATTATTAATGCAGTACTTGAACATTCTTCCTTGTGAGATGAGCTCTCAGAGAATGAAAGGACTGAAGGAATAAGGCCTGTACATGTGACTTGTGATATGTTTTTATGGTGGGTCCTGATCAGATCAGCAGTTCCAGATGTGCAGAAGAGCTAGTGGTGTCAGGGGTTTTTTTGTATATCTGAAAAATGAAGGTAAGGCAGCCATGAAGAGAACGTCACACAAGTACTAACTTTGATCAACAAGACTCACTTTCTGCCTTTTCTGAAACAAGTTCTGGCTCTATGTCTGGGATAAATAGCAATTCCTATAGACATTCTCTATTTATCAGGTGAAGAGATTGAATATCCTGTGAACCTGTCTGTCAGTTTCTAGAATGGTTGTGACTGAGACATCTGCTCTGAACCCTTAAATACAGAAAGGATGATGGTATGTAACTGTTGTTTCCAGTTAGTCTGTGATGATTGGCCTAATGATGTGGTTCTCCAAACACACGACCCAAATAATCACATTCTTTCTTTTTCACTTTTTTTTCTAGGGTGCCTGAAATGATTCTTAAAATAGTATTTGATGTGCTTTAAAAAAGAAGAGCGGAAAACAGATGATTGTGCACATGATCATCCTTCTGCATCCTACTGTTTTGCTGCAATAGGAGTACCTGTGGTGTTTTTAATATCCTCTGGTTTTGAGTGATAATTATCTGTTTTCAGGGTCCATCTCTGGGACTTCAACCCCAACCCCGTTTGAATACTGTACTGATTTTAAACAGTCTTGCTTTTCACATACAGTGTGTGCTGTACAGTGATGCAGCACTGGAGTGTGAATCCCACTGACATACAGCTGTGCCTGCAGACAGCAGCATCCTTGTGTTATATGAATGTTCTGTTGGTACCCTGTATAAGTATACTATATCCCCTCCCGTCCTCTGTAATCAAAATATGGATTTACAAGC